TGGGGGCGGGGCCTCGTAGCGCTCTGCTCTGGGGCTACAATAGAGGCGGGGCGGTATTGCTCCTGGGCCGCTCTGGGGGCGGGGCCTCGCGGAAGCTCAGGGGCTACCGCTGCCTGCACTGCCAGAACCCTCAGGCTATCCTTGCAAACTCTGACCTTTGCGTGGGTAGCCGATGAACTCCGTTGAATCCACGCGTTTGCGCCTATTGGGGCGTCACAGGTGCTCGATGGACTCCTCCCCTGTGGGTTTTCCAGGCCTCAGAGATGCTCCTCCTTTCCTGGTAGGGTGGTGCAGCCTTCGAGCTGAGGCCGCTCCGGGAACAGTCCGCAGTGCTGGCCGCTTGGTCAGGAAATCCTGTCCAGCGGACCCTTCCTTACTTTCCTAGAGATATCCGCTGCCCTTAAGCTGCTAATCAACATTCCCTGAGCTACTCAAACTCTGCCTTTATCTGTTTTGGGAACGGAGTCAGAACAAGTCCATCTGTTCGGTTGCCATCTTCAAGCTCCGCCCCTCAAATTGAATTTTTAAAATCCCCCATTTTAAATGTCATTTCCCCAAGAGGTGAGGTCTTATACCTCAGTGCAAATTATTTCTTTTAATAAACTTGATTTTTTTCAGAGCAAACCGAGCAGAAAGTAGAGTGTTCCCAATACCTCTACCCCACAATATCTTAATAAGGCTTGATTCATAGTTTTAATTACCAATATTTCAGCATGCCTGAAATATTATTGTATTTTAAACATTCTTGACATATTTTGCTTTATTAGGCTTTAATCTGTTGTTTTGAGGCTGATTCCACTCTATATTCCCAGTCTGCACTTCTTTTTTTTTTTTTAAATCAATCTTTATTGTTCAAATTATTACAAAGGTTCCTCATTTCTTCCCCCCTCCACCAAGTTCCCACCCAACCCTCCGCCCCCTCCCCATCCCCCATTGTCCTCATCCATAGGTGCAGTTTATGTTCAGTCTCTTCCTCCCTCCCTTTCCCCGATAGTAAATCCCTTTTCAGATAGTAAATCAGTTACTTAGCATTTTCTCATATCAATAATACCTCCACATGCCCAATGATACATTTCACACAAAAGACATTTCCAAATAGGTCAACCAGCCTCATCCAGGCCCCACCCAAGGCACTCACAGATCAACACCCCAGCCCTATACTAACTTAACACATCCAGATCTAAGCCTTCATCACTTGATTCAGCAGACCCTCAAGTTCCCACAAAAGTTTCCAGCCATGTCTGAGAGGCAGCCGTGGGGCAGGGGCAGGCAAGGAGCGAGCTGTTCCGGGCCTGGCTGCTCCGGGCCTGGCCTCTGTTGCTCTGGTTCGTTCCACAACCAACTGCTCCGGGTCTGGTCACTGCCGCTCCCGACCTAGTTGCTCTGGACTTGGCTGCTGCTGCTCCGGGCCTGGCCGCACCCGACCCAGCTGCTCTGGGCCCGGCTGCTCCGGGCCTGGCCGCTCCCAGCCCGGCAGCTGCTGCTCCGGGCATGGCCACACCCGACCCGGCTGCTCCGGGCCTCGCCGCTCCCAGCCTGGCAGCCGCTGCTCTGGGCCTGACTGCACCCGACCCGGCTGCTCTGGGCCCGGCTGCCCCGGGCCCGGCCACTCCGAGTCTGGCCGCTCCCAGCCTGGATGCTCCAGGCTTGGCTACTGCTGTTCTGGGCCTGGCTGCCCCCAACCCAGCTGCTCTGGGCCCAGCTTCTCCGGGCCCGGCCACTCCGGGTCTGGGTGTTCCTGGACTGGCCACCCTGGGGTTGGCTGCCTCCGCCTCAGGCCTGGCTGCCACTGCCCCAGGTCTGGCTGCTCCAGTGCTGGCTATTGTTGCTCTGGTTCTGGCTGCTTCTCTGGGGCCTGGCCGTTGCTGCTCCGGGCCCGGTTGCCACTTCCTTGAGTCTGGGCACTCTAGGCCTGGCCACCGCTGTTCCAACATTCTGTCCTTTTTTTTTTTTTTTTTTAACCCATATATGTTGCAATGTTGGCTGGTGAGTTGAGTTCTGACTTAGTCTTTGATTTTTCAAGTTCTTCTTTGTATTCTTTCTTAAGTAATTTTACTATCTTTTGCTCTCACTTGATTTCTTCACATTGAGAACTTCTTTGGTTTCTTCCTCCTTTTCCTGGGAGCTCAGCAGGTTGGCCTGTGGCACCACTTTGTTCTCCGCGGACTCCTGTGCTGCTCCAGCCTGTTGCCGGGGTCGGTGCCGCCCAGGAAGCAGCCCAAGGCCTTGGCTCCGTTGCCTGTGCTCAGAGGTCGAGGGCTCAGGGGCACCCCCCACCCCCGGGGGCCCGTCGCTCAGCTCCCTGCCGGCGCCTGGCTGGCCAGTGTCCAGCAGGGCCTCCTGCTCCCTGTTGCATTCCTCCAGTCTGGAGCTTTTTTTTTCTCTTTCCTGCTAGGGGAGTCTAGGATCAGAGTCAACCGACTGTCCTCTGCACGCAGTGCGAACGACTCTGGGGGCTCCGCTTTTCGCCACTCCCCTGGGATTCCGACTCACAGCCCCATCTCCCCCTGCTCGAGCCTGGGTCCCCAGGGTCTGGTCCAGGACTGGGGTTCAGAGCAGTCATAACTGGGGCCCAACACAGCCGGGGCTCCCGTTTCCTTCCCTCCAGGGCAATCCCGCATCAGAGTCAACATTCCTTCCCTTGCAAGCAATGTGCGCGACTCCGGGGGCTCGGACTTTCGCCGCTCTCCCAGGACTCCACCTCACAGCCCCGTCTCCCTCTACTTGAGCCTGGGTCCCCAGGGATTGGCACAGAACTGGGGTTCAGAGCAGTCCGGACTGAGGCTTGGCACCGCCGGAGGCCCTGTTCCTTCTGGCTAGGGTAATCCAGCATCAGAGTCAACATTCAGTCCTCTTCGCACAATGTGCGCGAGACTCTGGGGGCCCTGCTTTTCGCTGCTCCCCTGGAATTCCGCCTCACAGCCCCATCTCCCCTTGCTGGAGCCTGGGTCCCCAGGGTCTGGCCCATAACTTGGGGCTCAGCGCTGCCGGTTTGGGGGTTCAGCCCAGGCTGGGGGTTTTATTTCCTTCCTGCTAGGGAACGCCAGGCAGCACCCAGCCCTCTCCTCCTCTCCGGCTGCGACCTCTCCCTCTCCGTGCGCACGCGCCTGCGCGTGCGAGCTTGCAGCATGTCTCCGTACCTTAGGCTTTTTTTCAGATCCTCTGATTTTCCTTCTGGTTTTCTCTTTCCTTCTTGTTGTAGAATTTTCAGTCAGTCGACTACCTGTGGCTCTGGGCGATGTCCACTCTACATTTTAGTTGTATTCCATTGAAATTGTTGTGTGCTCCTGCGGTTAGGTGTCTACCCGAGCAGCCATCTTGGATTCCTCACCAGTCTGCACTTCTTTCACTCTTTCCTTATACATACATTTGCTGATGCATTTGATGAACATCTGGATGTTCTGCTGGCCCTTCCAATTCAACATGTCCATAAATGGGAATCAGTATATTATTCCCCTCTTAAAACCTTGTGTTTCTCTTGTGTTCCTTACATTAGTGATGGTTATACCATTCACTCAGTTACTCAAGCCAGAAATCTGGAGACTGATTTCCTAGTTTTTCCTTTCTTATCAGACACATTCAATCATCTTGTCTTGCAGATGGCATCTCCCAAATTCTACCCTTATCCCTGTTTTTGTTGCCCCAGTTCAGCAATGTCTCATCCCTGGCTTCCTAGCTCACCTGCTTTCAGTCTTGTCCACAAACCAGAGTGATTCCCCATACAATGAAAACATCTTAAAGTCTCCCCTTGCTTCCAGAAGAAAACTGACCTGGCTCCTGCCCATCCTTTTAGCACTTCTCCCATTGCTATACTCAAGCATCACTTTGCTCTAGCTTTTCTGATCAGAACCTCTTGAATGAATGGGGTAGTATAGTGATTACTAGCACAGACTAAGGTGCAAATTAATGCTTCACCAGCTGGGTCAAATTTTACTTAAACTTTCTGAACCTCATTTTTTCTTCATTTATAAAAGAGGATAGTCTAACTACTTCAAATAATTATTATGAAGAGGAACTATGATAATATTGGCATAAATACGTGGCATTGAGTAAGCATTTGATATGTAGTGGTTTATTACCATTATATAGTCCATCCCTCACTAATTTTGCATAATTCCCTCCTTGTCTTTTGTGTGGTTTTGTTTAGTAATTATTTTTGACCACCCACTATGTGTTAGTATTCTAAAAGCTGAGGAAACTGATGCACCAGAATGAGATTCTGTTGTTCCAATTAATTCCTTCTTATGCTTAGAAACCTTTCTTGACATTACTTGGTATGGGATGCTCTGTTGTACCACTTCCTGTTGTATATTATTCTATTTCTTTTGTTTTGATATAAACTTATCATGGTTATAATGGGATCCACTATTAGTTTGTCATTTTCTTGCAAGAAGGGTGTGGACTGTATTTTATTAATTTGTGCACACAGAATGCTGACAGTGCCTGATATTTATTTGTTTAAATACATGGAGTTGGACACATGGAGTTACTATTTATTCATTTAAATACATGGAGTTGGACACATGGAGATACTCAGTGAATGTTGCTTGAATATAAATAAAATTTGAGTTAATAATATACTTTTCTTCTATTGTTTACTATAAGTATACATTATTTTATCTCTGTTTGACTTTTAGAGCTACCCTAGGAACATATCTCCTAACTCTGTCTTACATGAAATAAATGCAATTTGAGTACAAATCACTAACTTTAAAATGAAGCTTAAGAGTTTAATTCTTTGTAACTTGGGACTTACGTTAGTGTGAGAAAATTTCATGCCTTGAGTATTGCAAAGATCTAAACCTGATAACCTAACATTGGTTTTATTTTTATTTTCATGTGTTTAGATTTTATCAACATCCATTTTTAAAGTTTGTCCTTTTAGTGGCTTTTGTGACTTTAAAATTTGTTTTCTTTCATTACAATTTGATGACATGTGCTCAGCTGAGTACATGTTTTGACAATTTTTTCTTTATTTCCTGTGTTTTTTCTTTCTATAGGCTTCCTTCCCTGGGAACTTACACTTGATATTGGTTCTACGTCCAACCAGTTTTCTTCAACGAACTTTCACAGACATTGGATTTCGATTTAGTCAGGAAGATTTCATGCTCAAACTACCGGTAAGAGTAAGTTTTTAAAAATATGTTGTTCCTTTTATTCTCATGAAGATATTGTACCATGCTGTTGATGTTTTATATGTGCTCATGAAGAATTTAAAAGAAATAGAATTTATCTTCCAAAAATGTAAATTTAAAAAGCCTAAAAATCATTTGCTTCTACAGTTAAAGGAATAGATTAATGAATTTTTAATAAGGCAATTCCTTTTTAAAAGGATATATGTCACATATGTTACATATAGAGGGTGGGGCAAAAGTAGGTTTATAGTTAGGAGTACAGAGTTTATTGTATTATTTATTAATTATTGTCTTATTTTTATTTTTTTAAGTATATTTTATTGATTTTTTACAGAGAGGAAGGGAGAGGGATAGAGAACTAGAAACATCGATGAGAGAGAAACATCGACCAGCTGTCTCCTGCACAGCCCCCACTGGGGATGTGCCCACAACCAAGGTACATGCCCTTGACCGGAATCGAACCCTGGACCTTCCAGGCCACAGGCCGACGCTTTATTCACTGAGCCAAATTGGTTCCAGCTATTGTCTTTTTTTTCATACAAACAACAGTAAATTTACTTTTCCCCCACTCTGTATGTGTGCATGTGTGCATAAAATCAAGACATTTCATTTTAGAAAATGAGTATGTGTTTTATGTTTTTGAACTTACATCAGAATATTATGTATTTGTTTTTATAACAGATATTTTTATGTTTTAGGGCTAGAAATAGAGTGCTCATAAATTTTGATATGTTTGCAAAGATTAGTCTCTCCTGATAAATTATAACTGACTACATAAAGTCCTTTGTTTTGTGGTAGGCATAACATTCTTTCAGAAGGTTGACCATTAGATCAAGGAGAATTAGGTGTTTGGGATTTATGGAAATTAATTTTGCTTTACAGATAAATGTTCTGTAAATGAAAACTGTTATTATCTGAAGAAGGTAGTGCTGCATACATGTGTGGGGAGAATACAGGAGAAAGTTTTTAGAATCATTTATAAAAGATACATTTATTCTAACTGAATGCTAAAGTTCATTATACAGTTGAATGGAGGGATGCCACAAAAGGCAGTTAACGGTATCTTTCTTGCTTATTTATATAGGTTGTTATGCTGAGCTCAGTTAGTGATTTGCTGACATACATTGATGACAAGCAATTAACCCCTGAGTTAGGCGGCACCTTGCAGTACTGCCACAGTGAATGGATCATCTTCAGAAATGTATGTTTCTTTTGCCCTTACTGTAGAGCCTGTAGTTCATGTGAGTTTTTAAATCTAGTGCTAGAGTTCTTTTCCTCTTTGGGAAAAACAGACTTCTGGGGCTCCTATTTAAAAAAAAAAACAAAACAAAAACATATATAAGTCAATATCTTGATTTTCTTCTATAGGAAGTACCTAGAAATGATGAAGAATCACTAAAGATGGCAGTTGAAGGAGTGGCCTAGGAAATAAGGAGATCTTCCTCTGTTCACTCCCTCTGTGGCCATTTAGTAACTTGAAGAAACAAAGGGTTGAGATTCAAATCATAGCATTGATGATTTTTAACTGTGCTACCTTGCACAAGTTATATTAATATAACCTCTCTGAATCTCAGTTTTCCCAGTTGTAAAATGGAAATAATACTTTAACTCATAAGGATACTGGGAAGATTAAATGAAATAACAATTGTAAAATGTTTAGTATAGGGCCTGGCATATGGTGAGCCCTCAAAAAAAATGCAGATCATGTCCTGGTCAGATGGCTCAGTTGGTTGGAGCATTGTCCTGTACACCAAAATGGTTTGATTCCCAGTCAGGCCATATGCCTAGGTTGTGGGTTTGATCCTTAGTCAGGGAGTGTATGAGAGGCAACCAATCCAATGTCTCTGTCTCTGCCTGTCTGTGTCTCTCTCTCCTACCCCCTTCCTCCTTTCCTCTCTCTATACATATCCTTGGGTGAAGACTAAAAAGTGCAAATCATATTGTTAATCTTACCATCCTAATAGTGCTTCTAAGGCAGTTATATTTGTAGCAAAGATTCCTTCTGTTCTAGAAGTTTACAAATAGGCAAAGGCCTGGCACCTCACAGGGGTGAGTTTGTGGTCTAAGAATCTTTACTCCAAATCCCAGAAATACAGGAACCTTCTGAAGGATGTAATTAAATGATGTTTAATTAAACCAGCACTCTATTTTCCTCATATTTATTCTTCATTCAATGGTCCTAGTCATTCATATGAAGGTATATTTTCAAAATTAGCAGTGCTAGCCTTTAACTGAAAAAGCTATAAATAAGAAAAGCAGATACCTTGAGCTGTGTGGTAAACTTGGGATTTATATGGTCTCTATATGTTGTCCTTCTTTCTCTGAGTAATTGATTTGGAAACAAAATAAATAACAAAATCTTACTTGACATTTTAGGGTGATAGAACCCGAAATGAATTGCTGTGAGTAGATGCTCCCTCATCATCTCATTCCATCACCTTGCTTGGAATGCTAATACTTCTTCATAAACTATAATAAATATAAAATGACTTTTATATTCTCATCTATCTTCAGAAGTAAAGCTACTATAGAGGAATTTTACAATTACAGAGTTTACTATAATAAGAAAAACACTATTTTTTCAAGGTCTTAAAACAAATTACTCAGTACATGACATCTTTAAGAAATAGTTTTTATTGGTGTCTAAGAAATGAGTACAGAAATTGAGATAAAAGGCATTCAAGAAGACTCTTCTCCTGACTATAGATTTTGGAGGCTTAGATGAAAAGTTAGTTAATTGTCAAGGGCAATGCCAACTTTCCTTAGTGGAGGAGAGTTTGTAGTGTATGTGTTTGTTCTCACATCTAAATAAAAGTGAATACAATTACTGACCCAGCTTTCGATATGCTAGCAGAGTTTCCACAGAATTAAAAGAATCACTGGTTCTTTGCAGGCTATAGAAAGTTTTGCGCTCACAGTGAAAGATATGGCTCAAGTGTTACAATCCTTTGGAACCGAGCTAGCTGAGACAGACCTACCAGAAGATATTCCTTCAATAGAAGAAATTCTTACAATTCGTGCTGAAAAGTATCACCTGTTGAAGGTATGTCTGATAGAGGAGATGAACAAATGTTTCCCATGGTCTTTTTCTAGAGAGGTGTTCAGTGTGTCCATTTCACACTGATTAACAAAAGATATAACTATATATTATAAAGCACACTAATAAAAATAAGAATATAATAGGAGAATGTCCTGGATATGTTCAATGTAAGTGTCCCCTTTGTAAATTATCTGTTCTCCTGATAAATTGTTTATTTGTAAATTGAATAGTTTATAAATGCTCTGTAATTATTTTTGTTACTACATATTCTTTATCCTGTGAAAAGGCACTCTCATTTAGAAAGTTAAAGTGAGCATCAATAGGCACATCCCTTGCCACAGATAGGATGTCAGCTTTCTTTTCCACAGAGTACTAGTTCTTGATGTCTTCTACAATAACTAGGAAGTTGATTTAGCTCTCCTACCCAGTTGTCTGGAGTGTTGGGTTGTGAAGGTTTCTGAGTTACCAAGAAACCTTTAAATTCACTTTTCCCAAAAAGTTTATAAATGATCTGAATAAGCACTAGGCTTCCATGTAGAACTCATGTTCTTCATATGATAATAGGCTAGTTGGGGTACAGAATCACAATCTAAAAGCAAAACTGTTCAAGGAAAAAATGTTCTGTCTCTCAAATGCTGTGTGGTTGGGTAATTTGCTTACCCTTTCAAAGTTTCAGTTTTTTCATGTGTACAATGAGGTTGATGATGATACATGCATACTTTGTAGAGCTGTTATGAGAATGAAATGAAGTAAAGTACAGTGTTTGCCACATAGTTGGCAATAGCTCTTAATGTATATGTTCTTAATAGAGGCCCAGTGAATAAAAATCATGCATGAGTAGGGTCCCTAGAAGCTGCTGGCTGCCAGCTGGGGCCTTCCTTCTTTCCGTACCCTCCTCCCCACCCCCGCCCCATGGAAAGCACACGTCATAGTGAGTGATCAAACTCCTCGTCAGTTGAACTCCCGAGGGGACACTTTGCATATTAGGCTTATATATATATAGATTCATATTGATGGTGGTGTCATGGAACATGTTTCCACAAAAATACATGTACACCTCATTTTTTTGATCTCCTGAAGGAAGTCATTGTTACTCTTACATGCCTGAAGAATCCACCGTCCAAGGTTAAAATCTTCTGGATAGAAGCATATGCTTCATGATAGATTAATTAATCCAGATGTGGACATAATACTTAAGGCAGGCAGTGATGGGCAACAATTAAGTTTTAGTAGAAAGGCATTTATCTAATTATATCTGAATATATTAAATATTATTTGCAACTGTATGCTTTCTAGTGTGGTACACTTTATTGTGCTATTATTGTTTTATTGAAGTACATTAAAAGTGCTAGCAGAATAGGATAGAATAGAATAACTTAGAACTCTCTACCAGTAAAGGAAGGAGGCTACAAATGGTACATAGGGTACTTCTGCTTGTAAAGATCTTATAGAAATAGTGATTGCAGCATCCACCTCAATAGTCAGAGGCTTCTTGGAGATTCTCACAGCTTTTGGATTCTGTGGTACTGAGGTATTCCTTGATGATTTCAGTTATGAAAGCAAAGCCATTTTATTTTATTTTATTTTTTTATATATTTTATTGATTTCTTACAGAGAGGAAGGGAGAGAGATAGAGAGCTAGAAACGTCGATGAGAGAGAAACATTGACCAGCTGCCTCTTGCCCACCCCCTATCGAGGATGTGCCCACAACCAACGTACATGCCCTTGACCGGAATCGAACCCGGGACTCTTCAGTCCTCAGACCGATGCTCTACCACTGAGCCAAACCGGTTTTGGCGCAAAGCCATTTTAAACTACTATTTTTATTCTGCATGCTAGAGATATATGCTTCCTTCTCTTCAGGTTATTCAGATTAGGTTACTGGCAGGTATTTGATACATCCCCTATTGTACCTTTGCACAGAATGATATTACAGCTGTAACCAAAAAAGGAAAAATTCTGCTAACAAATCTGGAAGTGCCTGACCCTGAAGAAGCTATCAGTTCAAGATTTGACCATCACGAGCAAATAGGTGGTGACTGGCAAACTGTGAATAAGTGAGTGCTTTCTTTTGGGTATAGAGTTACTTATTGTATTTTATACTTTCGAAAGAGAATTACACATTTTTTGCTGCAATCTGTTAAGTGTTAAAGTATTCCTGGATCTCTGGAAATTTAAGAACTTATTCCTGAGTTGTCTCACAGAAGTTTATTTGCTTGCAGACTAGGTTCTGTGGACAAGGATGTTTTTCACTTAGACCAAGTGTCATAGGCTGTGACTTTGCCTATAATTCTTAATGTCCAGATCCAGTTGATCTACCTACTTATAAAACAAGCCTTTGTTTTTAAGGAATTCTATGACTTTTTTTTTAAGATTGCTGACTCAAGTACATGACATGGAAATTGCTTTTGATGAATTTTGGGAAAAACACCAACTAAAAATGAAGCAGTATCTGCAACTATGGAAGTTTGAGCAGGATTTTCAAGAGGTCAGTTAAACATTTCTTTTCCCTCCCAAAAAATTGATTTGAGAGAGAGGAAAGGAGAGAGAGAGAGAGAGAGAGAGAGAGAGAGAGAGAGAGAGAGAGAGAGAGAGAGAGAGAGGTGAGAAAGAAAACATCGATCAATTTCTTCCTGTATGCACTCTGATTGAGGATTGAACCCACAACCTGGGTTTGTGACCTGATTGGGAATTGAACCCTTGACCCTTTGGTTCTCAGGGCGACACTTCAATCAACTGAGCAACTGAGCTACACCGGTCAGGGCTAAATATTTCTTTATACATTTATTTTCATTATGTCAGAGCTTCTTATCCCTTGATCATTAGAAAGTCTCACAAATGATCATGGTGGGAGGGTGGGGTAGAGGCAACTGTGAGTGAACCTTGACCTTGAATGAAGAAAAAAAAAACTACTAAATGCCAAGATTTCTACTTTTGTGGCTCATTCATTCCCTTCAAAAGAACACTTGTGTGCTAACATATACGAGAAAGCCAAAGTTTATTCTATTATACTCTGATGCTTGTTATTCAAATTTACTTTAAATATAATATGCTTTCAGTTTATGGGATAGCTTTCCTAGGAAATAATATAAATTTCCTTCTTGATTTTTCAAAATACCATATTCCTCTGCTGATTATGTTTTACAGGATCTAACAAAACTTTTTTTTTTCTGATTCAGCAATTTATGAAAAGCCTGATGAATGAAATTAAATCATGTTTAGTAATAATTATTTAAAAGGTTATAAGTATATTCTGTAAAAGTATGAGCTTGGAAAAAATGGAAGATGCCAAACCTATTGCACTGCCTTGAATTTCATTTTTAATTTTAGAAAATATATTTTATTTATTTTTTTACAGAGAGGGAGCAGGTTAGAGAGTTAGAAACATTGATGAGAGAGAAACATCGATCATCTGCCTCCTGCATGCTCCTTACTGGGGATGTGCCCTAAACCAAGGTACATGCCCTGAACTGGAATCGAACTGGGACCCGCTGATGCTCTGTTCACTGAACCAAACCAGCCAGGGCCCATTTGAAATTTTAGTAGAACAAGTAGACCCTGGATGTTTCTGTGTGAAAAAATTGATTTTATCTTGGTTGAGCTAGAAATCTTCCCATAATTCAAAAGGATGAATGGGGAAAAGTTCATTTTTCAAACAAAAAATGTTTTTGAAGAAGATCATGTTTTTCAAAAGGCCCGCTTACTGAAAATTCAATAACTGGAAACTGCCCTTTAGCTGAGATTCGAGTCCTCTGGTATTCATCTTCTACTTGGTCTGTGAACAGCCTTTCAGTTCTGTTACTTCCCTAGATTTAGTTCTTCTTTTCTTTGCTATCATGTCCAAGCTTCTCACAGTCTCTTTCATATACTGTTACCAGGGAATCCTTGAAAACTCACTTCTTTTCTGTTTTCCATGTGGCCAGATTTTTTTTTTTTTTTAAATCCAACGAATGGCTTGCTTACTTGGTATTTCATTTGTTCTAGCAGGATTAGGTCTTTGAAGGGCACTGCATTCTGGACACAGGGCACAGTTACTACCAGTCCTTTCCCTCCTATGATTCAAACAGATTTTGAAATGCCATGCACTCCATAAAATCGTCCTGAAAGAATAGGTCAAATTGCTCTTGGTCTTTCTAGATATTTGTGTCTTTCCCTCCTCCCCAACTGAACACATGGAAAAGTAACACTTCTCCTAAACATACCTATGTTGCCTCTCTATATATCTTAATTTGCATCCATATTAAATTTTTATACTGCAGTTATATTCTGTTTCTTCTTGGAGTATAATCTCATTGACATGATCTGTATTTCATATTGCCATCATTTAGACTCTGTATATATAGGAAGTTAACTTAAAAACTTGTTTGGCAATTTCAAACCTTCATAACATTTTTAATATTGTCAAATGTGATGTTTTTGAATATACAGAAAATATTATGTTGCATAACAATAGTATGGTTACCAAATTTAGTACATTCAGCAATAATATAATACTTTCATATTATCTACCATCAGTATTCCAATTTTGCCAACTGACTTAATACTATCATTTTTTGCCATCAATAAGAAATTTAATGTTGTTAAAGAAATCCAAATGATGGCATTGTCTAAAAATTTAACATGTTTATTTACATTTTTATAAAGTTGAACTGCTGAATCTTGTTTACTGAAACATTTTAACTTGCATCAATGCTTTTTGTCCCCACATTTATATTAAAAGAATTATTACACAGATGGGAAATGGAAATACTGCTAATACCTGATTTTTGTCCCCTTTTTGTAAGCATATAGTTACCTTTTGACCTTTTTTTTGGGGGGGGGGGGGCGGAGGGGAGACCTAATGTTCAGAACTACCAATAACATGAAGAAGAGAATTTTTAATAACAGAATGAAATGTTTCCCATTTTAGTGGATTCTTAAGTACACTCTCCTCATATGTGGTGTGCTAGCTGGATGTCTTTTGGCACAATTGTTATATGTTTGGCGTGGATTGCACATAGGTTGGTGTCTTCAAAAAGGCCAACTGGATAGGCCTCACTTGCCTCCTGCAAAGCACCAATAGCTGCATTCTGGAAGTGTAGATCTGTTTTGAAGTCCTGAGCAATTTCTTGCACCAGATACTGAAAGGGAAGTTTATGAATCAGAACTTCAGCAAACTTCTGCTAATGTTCAATTACAGGAAGTTCCATGATACCAGGCCTGTAACGATGAGGTTTCTTCACCCCTTTAGTAGAAGGTGTATCCTTGAGAGGGACTTTGGTAGCCAGTGGCTTCCTTGGTGCTTTACCACCAGTCTATTTGCAGGCAGTTTGCTTTGTATGAGCCATTGTATAGAGAGACCGTTCTTCAGCTATCCTTTTTTTGTTTGTTTTGAGAGAGAGAGAGAGAGAGAGAGAGAGAGAGAGAGAGAGAGATCAATGTGAGAGAGAAACATCAATTGATTGTCTCCCATACACACTTTGACTGGGGATGGAACCCAAAACCTGGGTATATGCCCTGATGGGGAATTGAACCCATGGTCCTTTGGTGCACGGGATGATGCTCCAACCAACCTTTATTTCCCCATGTATAATACAGGGTCCAGTCTAGAGAGTTTTGTATGGCATTAAGTTGTTATGTCTCCTTACTTGCCTTTAATCTAGAACATTTCTATAGCCATATTTTATCTTTTATGACATTGACATTTTTAATAATACAGTTCTTTTCATTTTTTATTTATTTTATTTTTAATTGAAATTATTGGGGTGACATTAGTTAATAACTTATATAGGCTTCAGAGGTATAATTCTATAATACATCATCTATATATTGTATTGTGTGATGTCACTGACATGTGGAATCTAATGAACAAGATAAGCTGATGAACAAAATAGAGGCAGAGGCATGAATGCATGGAATAGACTGATAGTTGTCAGAGGGGAGGGAGAGGAGGCTGGATGAAAAAGATGAAGGGATTAAGTAAAAAAATTAACTTATAGATAGACAAAAGTATAATACAGTTCATTTAAAAATAAAAACTTCTTTTTGAGTTTCTCTGACATTTTCTTATGATTAGATTAACTTATGTGTGACTACCTAGAATACTGCATATGTGATGTGTCCTTCTGAGGGTATCACATCTGGAGGAAATTAAGTCCAGCTGTTCCTCATTGTTGATGTAGATTTTGATCACCCAGTCAGGGTGCTATTAAATTTCTCCACTGTATAGTTACTTTTTTCCACTTGTATCTAGTAGGAAATGTGTGGGGAAAGAATTTACGGTCATGCAAATATCTTTTAAAATATATGTTATTGATTTCAGAAAGGAAGGGAGAGGGTAAGAGGGATAGAAACTTCAATGATGGGAGAAAATCATTGCTGCCTCCAGCATGGCCCCTACTGGGGATCCAGCCCACAACCCAGGCATATGCCCTCACCAGAATCGGACTGTGATCTTCTGGTTCATAGGTCAACGTTCAATCACTGAGCCACAACGGCTGGGCCCATGCAAATACCTTGCTCTTCATCAAAGATCACCATAGGTTTAATATCAATTGATCATTCTTGATTTAAATAGTCTTTATGATTGTGAAATGCTGTTTCTTTTTTATCTCTAGTGTCTCCACATTTACCAGTCCACATAGACATGCTACTGTAAACAAGGGCCTTTCTATCTATCATTTATCTATCTATCTATATCTATCTATCATCTAGTATCTATCTATCTATCTATCTATCTATCTATCTATCAATCTATCTATCTATCTATCATCTATCGATCGATCTTTTTGGGTTCATGGCTGCCTAGATTTTCAATGGTTCATAATTTACTACTGCTTTTAACTATTTTGGTGTTTCAAGCTAGCTACAATGTCCTGGTGATATGTCCAAACATTATTTTATCACTTCTTTACTTTCTAGCACAAAGAGATGGTCTAAGCCTCAGCCTTGGAAGCAGATATTTCCCAGAAGCTCCGGATTCTTTCTCTGGGAAATGATGCTAAGGACCAAGATCTGGGTGCTAGGAGTCCTCATTGCTACTAACGGGTCTTTGTCTCTGAAACTATTCATCATAGAGCTAGGAAATATATATTATAGGTATACATATTTCCATATATGTCCACATATAGATGTTTTCATATGTACATAGTGATTTTTAAAAATATATATTTTATTGATTTTTTACATAGAGGAAGAGAGAGGGACAGAGAGTTAGAAACATCAATGAGAGAGAATCATCGATCAGTCGCTTCTTGCACATCCCCTACTGGGGATGTGACCGCAACCAAGGCACATGCCCTTGACCGGAATCGAACCTGAGACCCTTCAGTCCACAGGCCAACACTCTATCCATTGAGCCAAACCAGTTTCGGCATAGTGATATTTTATTTTATTTTTTATTTTTTAAATATATTTTATTGATTTTTTACATAGAGGAAGAGAGAGGGACAGAGAGTTAGAAACATCAATGAGAGAGAGTCATCGATCAGCTGCCTCTTGCACACCCCCCACTGAAGATGTGCCCGCAACCAAGGTTCATGCCCCTGACCAGAATCGAACCTGGGACCCTTCAGTCCCCAAGCCGACATTCTATCCACTGAGCCAAACCGGCTTCAGCAACATAGTGATATTTTATAAATAATCAGTTCACACATATCTATGAGGTTAAATTTTAGCAGATTATATGAATTACTGTGAGTAAAATAACTGAAAATATTTTTATATGTGCAATTTTTTCATATTGATGTTCTTATTTAATAGTGTTTCCTATACAACTTGATTATTAAGGGAAATGCTTAATAGTTATTTGCTTGTAAGACTAATTTTGTTACTATTTTTAGCTTTTGCGTGAAGTTGAACTTCTATTAAATCAACAAGCAGAGTTGGCAGATATCACAGGGACTATAGCTCATATAAAACAAATAATAAAACATTTGGAAAACTTAGATGAAAATCCTCAGGTAAGATTACATTTCAGATATTCATTTATTTATGGAGTATGATAGATACATATTGGTGCTTTTCAGTGATTGAAACCCTTATTATGATTATAAGTAATCTCTCAGCAACAGTCTATATAATTTTTTCAATAATATTGGTCTGTTTTCCATTCTGTTCAATGTGGGCCTGAAGTGACACTGCATATATCATGTAGAAAGCCTCTGAGATAATGGTGTCTAATGTTTTAGGCCTGCCAGTGGGACCAAGATCATAAATCATTTTGAAGAAGCTAGAAAAATGTCTATCAAGAATGCTGTATGGGTACTTGGAAATAAGGGAAACATACAAAAACATAATTCCTTAAATATCCATCATTTGTTATATGTATTTCAACCAGCATACATTAATACAGATAGTTCTACTTAATCTGACTAGCTGTATGATCTTAGGTAAATTGATTACATTTTCTAGGCCTCAATGTCCTAATTTATAAATTGGTGATGAAAGGACCTACTTTGCAGAGTGGAATATAAGGATTCATTTAGGTGTTGTAGATAAAACACAGCACAGTACCTGAGATATATGACTCAAAAGAGCTAGCTGCCAGTCTCTTTAAAAAAATAAAATAAAATTAAAAAAAAATATATATATATAAAATTTATTTTTTTACAGAAAGGATGGGAGAGGGATAGAGAGCAAGAAACATCGATGAGAGAGAAACATAGACTAGCTGCCTCCTGCACATCCCCTACCAGGGATGTGCCCACAACTAAGGTACATGCCCTTGACCAGACTAGAACCTGGGACCTTTCAGTCCACAGGCCTATGCTCTATCCACTGAGCTAAATAAGTTTCAGCTAGCTGCTAATCTTAAAGTTTCGAATCATAGCTTTACTACTTAACAAACTCTAGTTTGCTCTCTAGTTTTTTTTATTTTGTTTTGTTTGTTTTTTTCTTTTGTTTTTGGTGTAATTTGGCCTTCTATATTTTTTAATAAATATTTTTTTATTGTTTAAAGTGTTGCATATAGTAGTACATATATCTCCTTTTTTTCTCCATTGACCTTCCGCCAGCCTCCCCTATCCCATTGCATGACCTCATCCCACCAACCCCGCAGTGTCTTGTGTCCATTAGTTGTGAAAAAGGACAGAGAGAGAAAAATTTAAAAAATATATATTTTTGGATAGTGAAGTAAGAGAGACACATTTATGGACTTGGAGCAGGGAATTGGAAATTAGATATATAAGTACGGTTAAATTTTAACGAGGGTAAAAAGAAGGAATTGGGAAAATCTAAAGCAGGAATAGGGTAAGGGAAACAGAACAACAAAAGGGGAAAAGTGAGGAAGAGAGTGATGACATAAAGGTAAAATTGAGATAGAGTAAAATGATGCTAAAGGAAAGATGAAAATAGAATGTAGAGCACTAATCCCAAAGTAAAATAAAGAGAAATAAAATAGTAGTAGTAATAATACTGATTGAAAATAAACATGTAATAATTAAAAAGGCAAAATCAAGTGAGGGAAAAAGAAAAAAAATAGTTTCATAAGTAAAAGATGAAAAAATAAAAATAAAAATGTACAGTAGTGAAGGTCATTCACTTCCTTAACTATTCTGTTTGGCTCACCTTTTCCTTAGTCAAGATAGTATTGCAGTTCCCTGCATTCCACTGCTCCTCAGTGTTGTAAGCCAGTCTTGATTTTTAAGCAGATAGTGTGTCTTTATTTCTTATATTCTTTTACTTGTGTTTACACAAGACTCAATTTGTGATTCAACCCCTGGGTGGCAGTGTTTCTGGATTGACCTCTGGGTTTATAGGTCCTCTCTAGCTAGTGTTTAGATTTTATTTTTCCTGAAGCAATTAATACCAATTTGGGGGAGTGGGTTGCCCCAGAGCTGGTTCTCTGATGGTTATTCCTTGCTCTGATCCCCAGGTTTCAGAAAAACAACTTTCCCTTACAGTCTCTTAGAGTGCCCCCAATTGGGTGATCCTATGTATTGGTAACCAGAAGCAAGGATTTAAAGAGGAAAAATAAATAATCATAAAATAAAATAAAAAGAGCCAGAGTAAGTGGGCAAACTCCCGGGCTGTGTGTAATTCTGTGCAGTCTTTTTTCCCCTTGAGTTTAAGCAGCCGGCTCACTTTTAAAATTTTCAGGCTGTCCTTTTGCACCCAGATCAAAATACGTTGCTTTTTAGAGATCTCTTCTGTTAGCAGCTCTGTAGACCACCTTCTTCATTCATGGATCATGCTAGCACCAATAGCCATGGATTTTTCTAGGTGCAGACTTCCCCTGGTCCTCCAACTCCTGCTTTCTCTCTTCTTCTGGGACCACAGACCTCACCTTATTCCAGGCAAAATCTGACCTTTCTGTGAGGGGGTGTTGAGCTCCTCTGAATCCACGTGCTCGCTCCACTTGGGGACCTGTGTTCTTGGCTTCTCAGCTGTTGGGTGGGTGCCATAGTTGTAGATTCCCTGGGCTTTTCAGGCTTCTGATAACATCCACTTTCCCCTTCAAGATGGTGCAGTCTCTGGGTCTGAGCTGGTCACTCCAGGAGCAAATCCAGCAGCAGTAGGGGCTGCTGGGTCAGGGGAGTCCCATCCATCAGTCCCCCACAGTGTCCTGGAGTATAGCTGTCCCTCAACTCACCATCAAACACTCCCTGTGCTACCACACACTCTACCTTTGTTTACTCACTCACACACTATCTTGCAGTCTGCCTTCCCATCTGCAGCCATCTTCCAAACCTCCTACTCTTCCGTTTTGTATGAGAGTATAAGTCCATGGTTTTTAAAGTGGGTTCTCAAGCAAACAAATAGTTTTATGGGTGAACCACTGGCACCAAGAAACAAAAATTGAAAGGTAGCAGTTGTGGTGACCAGTTCTGGAACTGTGCTTATAGATCTTTGTGATTGTGGGGCAATTTACAGATCCCTATGGTAGAATAGAAAAAGAAGGCAAACTGGGTTGGAAACTAAGGGGCTTTGGTCCTATTGTTTGTTATTTAATAGTTTTCAGTTTTACTTGTGATGAAAGACATAACATTTATTATTTTAAAATATTTTATTGATTTTTTTGCAGAGAGGATGGGAGAGGGATAGAGAGCTAGAAACATTGATGAGAGAGAAACCTCTGTCAGCTGCCTCCTGCACACCTCCTACTGGAGATATGCCCACAACCAAAGTACATGCCCTTGACCGGAATCGAACCTGGGACCCTTGAGTCCACAGGCCAGTGTTCTATCTACTGAGCCAAACCGGTCAGGGAAAAATTTAATATTTTAACCATCATAAGTGTACAGTTAAGTAGTGTTTAATGTATTCACATTGTTGTGCAACAGATCTCTAGACCTTTCTTATCTTGCAACACTGGAATTCTATTTTGACCCTGGTTTGCCCACTATCTAGATAGGCTAGTCACTTCTTCACATAGGGCTTCAGGTTTCTTTATTTTACGTCGACAAACATTTCCTGAACTCCTATCATGTTTCAGTCACTATGGTGGGGGTGAATCAGCAGTTGATGTGGAGGCAAGGCCTTTAAGATCCCTTTTGACATGCAAACCCTGTGACAGGTTCACTTCAGGTCTGTAAAGGTGTCAGGTGGATTTCCAAGGCTAAGATGTGAGAAATCAATTATCTTTCTTTGGCTGGTGTGTACTTCATTTGATATATGGGGTTCTGTTCTAAATCTGTACAACCCTTCAAGAAGCAAATCTCATTCCTATTCTGGGAGGCTGGATAATTTTCTTTTTATGTCACGAGAAATGCGTGAGCTTTTGATATCAACTGCTGTAGCTAATTACTGTAACAGCTTTTCTTGCAGCCTGTAAAAGTATGTTATCAAATCATACTTTTGGCAAAACATCTCCTTGCTCAGTCAATCTGCGTCTTAATTATTGGCCCCACCTCTTTGAACAGAGATCATGCAGTTATTGTTTTACTTCTTTCTTAAAATCAGGATTTGTCAGCAAAGGTCCAGTTTGTGATTTTACATGGACACAGACTTGCTTCACATCACCATTATGCACTTGATTTGATCTGCCACAGGTGCACCAAGCTACATTATCTTTGTAATATTTTGGGTAATGAGACACAAAATAAACGGATACAGCTCAGCTGGACCTTTGAAATGCATAAACGTCTACAGCAGGTAGTGTCATGTGGCATGATGCATTTCTGAAAAGTAAGATAAATATTTTTCCTGGGTCCTTCTCAGGTTATATGGTCAGGGTCTGGTATAGCTTTGGAATTTGCAAGGGGTCTGGGTTTGACTATGCTTATTTAATCCATATTAACTCTGCAGAATTCATAGCAGGTTGGTATTATAAGAATTTTGGCCTCTATTCTGAATATTTAAAAATATATTTTATTGATTTTTCACAGAGAGGAAGGGAGAGGGATAAAGAGTTATAAACATTGATGAGAGAGAAACATTGATCAGCTGCCTCCTGCACACCCCCTAATAGGGATGTGCCTGCAACCCAGGTACATGCCCTTGACCGGAATCGAACCTGGGATCTTTCAGTCTACAGGCCAATGCTCTATCCACTGAGCCAAACCGGTTTCGGCTGTTCTGAATATTGAGATTTTGATTGTGATGGCTTCTTTCTATTTTGGGTACATCTCTGAAACTTCTACTCTAGTGATAGTTTGCAGACAGAACATTTTAAAAAACTGTGGGGGTCATTTTAATAAAATCTGCAACTTTTCAATTTCATAGTTATAGCAGTAAAAAATTCAACAGTGACTGGAAAATATTCTTCCATTGCTTGAGGTTCTGACCCCATTCATGGGTAAGCAGTGAAGAGAAGGTTTGGTCTTGGTAGTGGAATGTAAAATAGGGCTATCATTTACAGGCATCATATTTGAACATGAGCATTTTTTTATTTTTTAAAAATATATATTTTATTGATTTCAGAGAGGAAAGGAGAGGAAGAGAGAGAGAGAGATAGAAACATCAATGAGAGAGAATCATTGATTGGCTGCCTCCTGCACGCCTCTCACTTGGGATCCAGCCTGCAATGTGGGCGTGTACCCTTGACTGAAATTGAACCCGAGACCTTTCAATCCATGGGCTGACACTCTATTGACTGAGCCAAACCAGCCAGGGCTGAACATGAACATTTTAATCCACACATCTTCTCTGGCAATGAAACTTTTATCTTTTGCTCTGAGCAATATTATGCTTTCATATTATACTTTATATTTTGCTGGGAGTTTCATATTTCAGTTATTGATTTTGGGAAAATAGCATGCAGCTCAGATATTAGTATTGATAGAACGAATGGTCAGGCTTTTGCTAAAGAATGATTTCATTGTTATGAAATGAGTGAAGTACTTCCCAGGTTTGCTTGTGCATCAGAGATATCCGTGGAGCTCTGTAAACATATAAATACCTGACTTATGGTCCTGAGCTACTGAATCAGAGTTTCTGGAGACCCAACCCAGATATATTTTTTAGTAACTCTGAAAGTAACCTTGATTGACAGAAGCCGGGACTGATAAACTGATAAACCTGTTTTAAGGGACAAACATACATGTTGTCATTTACTCATAGTTATGGTGTGTGTGTGTGTGTGTGTGTGTGTAGTGTGATCACCAGGTCTTCAGTGCTGTGATGAAGGAGAATGTCTTCTAGCTAATCAGGAAATAGATAAATTTCAGTCTAAAGAAAATGCTCAGAAAGCTCTCCAAGATATTGAACATTTTCTTAAAATGGCTCTGCCCTTTATAAACTTTGATACTAAAACCCTACAATATGAATTTGATGTACTTTTATCCCCTGAACTCAAGATAAGAGGCTTCTTTTTAAGTGAACACATTTTTAAAAACTATAATTACCATAGGTTTAGTTGTAAGAGTTTTATTACTTCACAGCTAACTTTATATCAAATTGCAATTACACAGTGCTCTTAAGGATTAGAGGTGATATCAGTGTCATTGTTAAGCTTCAAAAAAATCCAAAAGCTTGTTCTTGCTATTAAATTAAGAATAATTTCCTTTTTGAGCTCTGACTCCATTATTTTTAAACTCTTTTCACATACCACGAGCTCTCACATACATTTTCTTGTGCATCCTTGGAGAAAGACCAAAGCTGTCATTGGCAAATATTGGGCCAATGTCAAGATCACTCTATGCCAGACATCTTTTCTTTGTGCTGCAGTAACCAACAACAGAAGGAAGGTTTAAAGAAAGGATCTCAGTCTTCTTGGTGAGGGTGGGGAGCAAGCGGAAGTTGCTGTTTGTAGGGTGGAGAGCTTTAGGTTGTTCAATACCACCCCATTGGAGATGTCATGAAGCACTGTTTTCACATTTGTAGATAAAGTTTATTTGTGATACTATTTGCTGCTAAAATGTCTAATTGATGCAAAGATTGGAACAGTATTTTTTAAAAATATATTTTATTGATTTTTTTACCGAGAGGAAGGGAGAGGGATAGAGTTAGAAACATCGATGAGAGAGAAAGATCGATCAGCTGCCCCTTGTACACACCCCCCCCCCCCAACTGGGGATGTGCCCGAAACCAAGGTACATGCCCTTGACCAGAATCGAACCTAGGACCCTTGAGTCCACAGGCTGACGCTCTATCCATTGAGCCAAACCAGTTTTGGCTGGAACAGTATTTAAATCTGTGTTTAGTGGCAGATCTTAGGGAATGCCTAAGAAAAACAGAAACATAGCTGTGGCAATAACCAACTCATTCTCTGGATGCCACGAAGCTTAGCTGTGTCAAATTGTCTACAAAGGCCAGAAGGAGATATTCTTTATAATGGCTCTGAGGAGCCTTTTACAACATGGTGAAATAAAAGAAACATAACAAACTACTGTGACAGTGCTTAACTTGGTGGCTTTCTGATGCTAAATATGCCTTCTTTTCCGGGCACTGTCCCTTCTTGTTTATGAAAGGTAAATCACTTTATGTAGTGACCTATTTCATGACTGCTTGATAAATTTTTCTTTTATTTGTTTTGGTTGAGATCTTCTGCATTTTATAACCGTGTGGAGATAATACATTAGTCCGTCTCCATTACTCTCCTAAATTCCTTCTAGTTATATTTGAAACTCTACATTAAGTTTTGGACTGTTTGAGTCTGAGAAATCTGATAGTATTTGTAATTATCCCATTTCATAAAATATTTCATAAAATTCTTATACAACTTGTAGATTCAAATTCAGCCTGTACAACTCAAGCTTGAAAGCATTCGAACTGTATTTGAGAACCAACAAGTTGGTTTTAAAAACCTGAAATATGAGCATGTGAGGCCAATCCAGTTTGTGGTACCTGTTTCCAACAAAGCAATCATACCTAAAGCACCCTTTTTTTTTTTTTACCTACACCTGGTAAAGAATCTTACATTCCCTCTTTAATTTTTATTTTATTTTATTGCTCTTATTTACTTTGTTACTCTTTAAAAAAATATTTTATTGATATTTTTACAGAGTGGAAGGGAGAGACATAGAGAGCTAGAAACGTCGAAGAGAGAGAAACATCGACCAGCTGCCTCTTGCACACCCCCTACCAAGGAGGTGCCCGCAACCAATGTACATGCCCTTGACCGGAATCGAACCTGGGACCTTTCAGTCCGCAGACCTACGCTCTACTGCTGAGCCAAACCGGTTTCGGCTACTTTGTTACTCTTAATGTAAATACCAAATTTATTCTTCAATCCTGATAAATTGAAATTTTATTTAAACATATTTGATCATGTTTAATTATATTGCATGAGGCAGGAGTTGTAATTGACACTAACATACAATAGTTCCACAGTGGTGATATAATATAGTATAGGATGTTGCAGATCTGTACTGAATAGTCCAGACTTGCAATGAGTGTGAACATTTATACCAGCATCAAATTCAACCTTTTCTTCAGCAGGTGGAAGAAGGAAGGCATATGAAACTGGTACACATGTGTGCCTGTATGTACTCAAGCATATGCACTTTATACCTCAATAAACTATAACTTGGTTCTTATAAGCTTCCAGTAAGTAAATGGATTGGATAATAGAACGGCTTGCCTATTGTACATAAATGCAAGTAAATAGAATAATTTTGCCTGTCACAGAGTCCATTTTCTGGTTTTAATCTTTGTTGACCTATTTCAATCATGTAATATCTATTTTCCATTCTACATTCTATGGGATAAAATAATTATCCTCACTATGCTGTTGAACTACTCTAGAAATAAGATGACCATATTTCTCCAAGGTTTTCCTTGAGCAGCCTCTGTGGCCTCTTTTTAAAAATATATATATATATTTTATTGATTTTTTTTTTACAGAGAGAAAGGGAGAGAGAAGAAACATTGATCAGCTGCCTCCTGCACACCCCCCCCCCCCACTGAGGATGTGCCCACAACCAAGGTACATGCCCTTGATCGGAATCAAACCTGGGACCCTTGAGTCCGCAGGCCAACACTCTATCCACTTAGCCAAACTGGCTAGGGCATGTACATTTTTTTAAAAAGGTACCCATTTTTATTACTTTTTATCAGTACATTTTCAGAGTTTATGTATGTAAAAAAACAGTTTGGCATTTAAAACAATTTAAAAGGATCAGCATTCAGTTTTGCATTCTGCCTACAATTAACTTTATTTTTCATAATAACTGTCCATTATTCTCTCAGTATTAAACTTAGTCTTGGAAAATGACTATATAAAAAAAAAAGTAGATTATGCGCTTTCATCAAATGACCACTCATAAGTAGAAAACAAGGAAAACAGTTGCACTATTAAAATAAATCAAGCTTTTTTCATTTTATAGACTCTTGTCTCATCCACAATAAAATTATTTGTTAGGAGTAGCCTTAATTTGCTGTAATTTAAGACTGTCTAGTGCATTTATGAGGAAGAAGGCAGCTTACTGACATGGTTAGATAAATGATTTTATTAATCATAAATCATGGTTATAAATTAAATCTAAGCATTTCTTACGCTATAGACATCATTCATTTTACCCTATTGCTCTGTGAGTAGTGGGGATTATAACAATCAGTTCCAAATAATTCTTCAAAACATTAAATTACGAAGCCAGATATATAAGTTTGGATTGAATCAAAGCATAGTGCTAATATTTCATAAAATAAGTCAAACTGCTTTTTGTTCTTTGCATTTATTTTTATTAATTTGAATCAAATAGAATCTTGTACCTAGCACAGTTGCCTCCTGGCACCTAGCAGAATGTAACACATATTTGTTGAGTTAACATTTAATACAGAGGGAAGTTATGGAAGATCACTGTCTGCGAGGGGTAAAATGTGGTTTGAGTTTCTAAATCTGTACCTCTAGTCTAGATCTTTCTCCTAATCTTTAAACCTGCATTTACAATTTGCTTCCTCAAATTTCCTATAGACAACCCAGACTCAGCATACCCCAAACTGATTGCTTCTGTCTTACAAAACCTGCTCTTCCTATTTTCCTCATCTCAGTAAATAGCACCATGATTCCTGGGCCCTTGGTTTCATCTTCTCACTCATTCCCCACCTCTAATCAGTCAAAGAACCTCCCTTATTTCCATTCCCATTGCTATCACTCACTGTCACTTCCCTAATCCTAGTTAATATCATCTATTACTTTGACAACTGTAAGAGTCTCCCTGACTCCCCATTTTCCCTTCTCAGATTCTTCTAGTTATCTTGCCTTTGGACTTCATATATACTATTCTCTCTCAGGAACAGTGTTCCCTTCCCTCTCTCTTTTCCCTTTGCTAGCTCCTACTCCTCCATCAATTTTCCTACAGTAGGCCACCTCCTTTAGGCAATATTTTCCTTCCTTCCTCTCCTCCCCTTTTCCCAGTTCATTTGGATATTCAAGCTATATGATAATGAGTCCCTGGTTATTTTGTCTCATCTTTAGTGTTAATTTAGTTTTGTGTTTCTCTTAATAGACTGTAAGCTCTATAAGGGCAGGGCCTGTGTGTAATTTATGTTTGTATCCCTAGCACCAAATACGGAGCTTAGCATATAGTATAGGCACTCAATAAGGTTTATACATATTTAGATTGTTAAAAGAATGAATTCATCTACATTGCTTTTCAGAAATAAGCGCATTTCTTTTGTAAATACTCCTTTTTCATCTCTTCATGTATTTGACAAGAATTAATTAGTACAGCTAGTTAGTGAAGATCCCTAATTTACATTTCTAAGTAAGTTCAGATCTCTATATCAAGTGTCTTTAAAGTGATGGGCATCAGTATTTATTGAGAAATTGATTTTATATAGTAATTGCCAGTAAGTCTAATTTATATATATATATGATTATGTAATCCTAAAACATATAATGCATTTTTAAATAAATGAAAGTAAAATATAAAATTTAGAGAATGTAACAGCATAATAACCTTTCCCTGAATGTGCCTTGCACTGGCTCCTGCTGAGGAGGAAAAGACATAAAGTATGTTTCTTCCATGGAGAAGAGAGATCTACAAAGCCTGTGTGGGTGGCAGCCTTTTCAGCAGCTCTGAGAATTAGAAGCTTAAATGACCTAGTCTTTGAGTGGACCAGGCACTGGGCTTTGTCAGAACATCTGGACTCCTTGCATAACAATATAGGAGCTCACCCTTTTTAAACAGAAGAGAATGATTAAACAGAACGAAAAAGAAAGATTAAGCAGGAAGAACAGAACTATTAAAGCTTGGAATTTAGATGAAGTTGTTTTTTGGTTTGTTTTGTTTTAGCACCTTAACATGCTTCAGACATGTTGTTTTCCTATATATAGTGGTTAGAAACACAGCTTCTGATAGTGACAATTGAGATTTGAATACCACCTCTGCTTTTTGCACAATAGTAACCTTACTTCCGTATCTTTAAAATGGGGATTGAAGTAATACTTATCTCTTAAGGTGACTTGAGGTTTGAAAAAGAAACTGCCTGTGTAGGGCTTATAAGAATGTAGGCATATTTTAAGTGCCAAATAAATGCTGTAATTATTAGTTAAGTTTAGATTTTTCTCTAAACTTTTTGACACAGTTAATTAGTGTCCTACAATCTGAGCAAATGCTTATATGTCAAGATGAACATCATATCTACAAATAATTTATGCGTACTATCACTCAGTTTCATGCTTGCTTGGTAATCAAATGAATTTTTCATAAAGGAGAAAATGGATTTATAACATGGCAAAAGTATACTCAATAAGAAGTTGAGATCATATAGCTAAATTTAAACATTCAAGTGTTTTGAATAGTGTGATTTAAAAAATACTTATATAAACACATTGTAATACTACTATCTTTCTGTTTAATAAACATGCATGAAAGTGTAGATTTTCACTCTGGTTTGAGATATTTTCATGTTTCTCTCCCAGGGAAGAAGACTTGGAAACAAAATAAGAGCAACTTAAAAGGAAATATAATTAATTAATTCAAAGTTGGCTTTATTACTGTAGTTCCAGAATAGGAACAGGGTCTTAGAACCATATTTTTAATCTATTCAAACACGGTGCTTTTGAAAGCCTCTTTAATCTAAAAGGAAAAGCTGATGCTGCATTGTGTTTAATTGCAGTCCTGGCATATCCCCAGATGAATGAGTAGTTTCTCAAATCTTGGGTCAAATTCAGAATAATTTTTATAGAATATCTCATGTATGTCCCATCATCTCTTTCCCCATACCCCATTTCAATAAGCATAAATAAGTGATGTACATTTTTATAAAAGGGGATTTCTTTCATAAGTAATTCCAGTTCTGCAAGTAAGAAGCAGGTTCTAATGGACCATACTTTAGGCTGAAAAAGACATCTATTAATTTCTTGATAAATACATAAGTCCTTCTCAGTTATCCATGATATTCTGGTATCTGCAGAGAGTAGCCTGATCATAATTGCAATGCCCTATATTTTCTTTGTGTGTTCTTTTTTTTTCTTTGTGTGTTCTTGATGGTAAATAAAGACAAGAATATATTGTCAAGAGGCTGTTTGTCATAGAGATCATAGTGATACAGATTATAGAGCTAGACTGCCTGGCCTTTAATCCCAGCTGCATCACTTGGCTGTATAACCTTGGTTAAGTTTTTGGAACTCAGTTTTCTTATCTGTAAAATGGGGATAATAATAGGATACCCTCATTATAGAGTTAGTATAGATAAAATATTCTAATATTTGTGAAGTACTTTGAAAAATATGTGGTGTATGTTAGTGTTCTAAGGCTTTTATACAATTATCAGCAGGCTAGTGAATATGCTACATATCATGCCTGGTTATCATGTTATACAGACACAACTTCTGGTTTCAAGAAGGAAACAGGTTGAATGCCAAATTTCATCGTCCTACGTGTCTTTCGGTTCTAGTTTTAACTCATAACTACCTTCGCATTCCACTATGTGTGTTTATTCATTTGTAGGGGAAAATAGGAGGCTGTGGCTATGTACATTTTCTTAGTGAGATTTATAGCTAGTGAACTAGGTTCCAAAATGCACACATTCTTCCACTTCAAGTCAATTTGCACAATCTTTATATATTCAAAAGTAGCTATGTTTCAGATCTTTAAAAACTTGTATTTCAGAAATTGTTTAAAAGTAAGAATGCATACCTATCTGATAAGTGGACTGTGTAGTATTTTCAATCCTAATTATACATTAAAATGATAATAGTTGGTACATTGAGCAGACATAAATAAAAGCACACTCTTAAAGAGAGAACATGGTAATGGTGACAGACCATGGGCTTGACTGTTTCATTACTTAGAAGGTATGAACCTTGACCTGTTGCTAAACTTCTCTGAGCCTGTTTTCCCTTCTGTAAAATGGGGATAAGTATGACATAGCATGCTAAATTAGTGTGAGAATTTGATGTAATGATGTGTGCATAATATATATAAAATAGTCAATAAGTATTTGTTCCTTTCCACCTGTATTTGTAATAAGTAGGTCATATTCTGAGGAAATGCATTTTAGCTGATAGATCATGTACTTGGTTTGGGGTTCCAGTTGTTACAAAGTAATGCTACACTTACTTGAAGGTTAGGGTTTTTGCTCATCTCAGCTGTTCAATATAGCCAGGATCCCTGGAATATACTTCAGATGCTTCTGAAGAGCAAAATGTTAATTTTGTGATAAATCTCAGGCAGTTGATTCAGTAAGGTAGTCAAGTCCCATAGAGACTGCAAATAAGTTAGCAGTTTAGGATCAGGGAAGTCACTTGTAGCAACAACTGACATGTGACAGAGAGCAGAGACAGATGAACAGACAACAGTCATTTCAAGAAACAATAAACATTTCTGCACATGTTACTAATCCTGGAGTGTAATATTAGATTTTATCATATCATTTATGTTCATGATTGATGCCACTGAGTGAATAGGAAAAGGATCGGTGATGTTCTGTATCTGGGTTAAAGAATTCAAGGATTCATGTAATATTTCCTAGAAAGGTTTCCATAAAAAGTCATTAAGGTTGAGCTCTGGCTGGTGTTGCTCATTTGGTGGTGTGTCCTCCCATGTTCCAAGGGTTGTCAGCTCAATTCCCAGTGAGGGTACCTGCCTGGTTTCCTACTCCCAGTAGGGGGCATGCAGGAGGAAGTCTCTCTCTCTCTCTCTCTCTCTCTCTCTCTCTCTCTCTCTCCCTCCCTCCCTCCCTCCCTCCCTCCCTCCCTCCCTCCCTCCCTCTCCCTTCCTTCCTCCCACTTTTCACCCCCTCTCCTCCCTTTCCCCCTTCCTTCTTTTCTCTAAAAAACAAACAAAAAACAATAAAATATTTTAAAAAATTAATGTTGACAAGCCATTTTGGTTTTTCAATGAATAAACTTTAGTTATTTGAACAATACACTTTTTATGAATTAACCTCATTTCCCCAAAGTGCCAAATAAATGAAATATTACTTAATATATAAAGCAAATTCTAATTATTATCTTAAATCTGCCCTCTTAGGCAACTCAAATGTTTTGTTTTTTTTTTTTTAATATTTGAAAGACTAAATAACCATAGGGTTATTTTTCAATTTATCTACACAGTTTAGACCTAGAGAAAACTTAATTTAAGCTAGATTTTTTTTGAAGAACTATGCCTACTTAGATGCTAATTTAACTTATTTTCATCATTTCAGATTGAAGTGGTGCATGAGTGTCTAGAGAAGAGTTCTGGTCCATCCTCCAGTTTGAACAATAACAATACCTTGGATGTGTTAAAGAAGTATTTTTTTAATTTATTAACAGACATACATATATATATATATATATATATATATATATATATATATATACTCGCAGGAGACACTGATTCAGTGTCCAAAGTGAACATGTTTGGGATTTCGAGTTCACAATATGGGATTACACAGGATTTGATGAAAAAAAAAACACTAGATGATATATCAGAAGTCTTGCATGTAGACCTGGTCAACATATGCTCTGTTTATGTGACTTGAAAATTAACTAGACCTTCACAGAATATTAATCTTCTCTTTTGTAAATGAGGTCAGAGTGAATGGGACAGTGTTCCAAAAAACCAGAAAGGATTATGTATATATACAATGCTATTTTATACATGTTAATAATCATTGTTTTATTCACTTTTATAGTATTCTGTTAACATTTCAGAGATGAATATATTCACCTTTTAAATTTTATATCATAGAGTTGTAAGTAGCCAGTATTTTAGAGCAAGGTGTATGTAGATACATACAGGGTGGGGAAAAAGTAGGTTTATAGTTGTGAGTACACAAAACACAGAGTTTATGCTTATATTATTATTTATTGAATATATTATTTTCCATATTAATAACTGTAAACCTATCTTTGCTCCACCCTGTGTGTGTGTGTGTTTATGTATTAAATATTTTTAAAGGTTAATGGTAAAGGTAAAAAGTTTAAAAAAAAGGCTAAAGATATAAGTTAAATTAAAAGGATTACTTATAGTGGGCAGTGAGGAAACAAATTTTAAATAGAATGTCAATTGGAAATTGCTTTGGAAGGAAAATGTATCAACAATAATAAAAGCATAATATGCTAATTAGGGTGGACATCCTTCTGGATGACCTTCCAGAAGAAGCTGGGGCTGCGAGGAAAATCTGGGTCCCAGGTGCCTGCTGGGGGATGGAGGAAGCCTGGGTCCCGGGTGCCAGAGGGAAGCTGGTGCCAGAGGGAAGTTGGTGCTGGCAGCCGGGACAAGGAAGGCCTACTCTTGCATGAATTTTATGCATTGGGCCTCTAGTTTTATTATAAAGAGCTAGTAATCAAAATTACTACAGAAACTTAAGTATGATTTATATTTGGGAAATCCAATATCATAAACCCACTTAATGGTCTTGGAAAATATCAGAACATTACTGGGGAAAAGGAAAAATTCTGCCTAAAATTCGAATATTTCTTTTAGAGGGAAAGAAAGATAGAGAGGGAACTATAACCAAGAAACTGTGTTGTCCCCCTCCCCAAAAGTATTTCCCAGATTTTTGGGAATAGAGTTTGTGAGGTTTTAGTAGGTTGATTCTTAAACTTGGTGAGTTAGAAATAAAGGGTGTTTTTTTTTCATTTAAAAATAAGTCCTGATTGCTGTTCCCCATTCGTTTAAATATATTTTATAATCTTGTGGTAAATCTTATAGTGGTACTTGTTCTAGAAACCATAGAATTAATTTTACATTTTGATAATAAAACCAAAACTATTGGTAGTTCCTGTGTATTAACAATTTTTACATTAGACAATTAGATAATGGAAATATTTCATTACAATTCTAAACCAATAAAATAATTGATAAATATGATCTTTGTGTTTTAGCCATGTCCTAAATGAGTTGATACAAACTGAGAAGATTTATGTTCGCGAGCTGTTTACTGTTTTGTTGGTAAGGGAGTCACATTGTATTTTCCCATCTTTTCCTAAATACTCCCCTGCTACATGTGTTAGGCAGTGTTTAGGGCAGCCTTCTCTTCCCGCATGCTTCCTTGATTGTCACATGGCAGCAGTGAGTATTTCTGCTATGGTTTGAGACTGTGTGTTTGTCAGATATGGGTATTCAGGTTCTCCCTCAGGAGTAAGACTTGTGGATTAAGAATGTATTATAGAAGAGAAAAGCTGTTCTTTTAGTGATACAACAGATTGTTCTAATTATTCCCATGGCACTATTTAGAGATTGTGATGTGAAGATCTGAAAATGGGAGGAAAATATTCATTTCATACAAATGCCATAGTATGAATTTGGTCTGAAACACCTAAACACTTATTGCTAGCTTAAGTAGAAGTTAATGACCTGTAATATAATTTTTCATACTTGGTTTCTATTTTGTTTCCTATACTCTAAAGTACCCTGAAGGCCAATGAGCTATCATTTTATTTTACCCATTGAGTAGAAAACCTTCACTTCCTGGCCCTACTTTCTAAAAAATAATGATAACGTATAGTTTTGGGAAATAGAAAATTTAATGTTAAAATTACAAGCAGCTTCACTCACTAATCCCCTATACATTTTGTTGTACATACACCTTTGGTGGGCCAATCAACTGTTAATGTGAATCTTTTTTTAACTGAATAAATGTTATTTATTTTGGGTAGGGCTATAAAGCAGAGATGGATAATCCAGAGATGTTTGATCTTATGCCACCTCTCCTGAGAAATAAAAAGGATGTTCTCTTTGGAAATATGGCAGAAATATATGAATTCCATAGCAAGTATGTAATTGCTGAATTGAATTTTATTTTTTATGATATTATTTAAAGGTTATTGACCAATTTATTTCCCATAAAAATATTTTTTTCTCTGAAATTTTCACAGCCTTTTCATGAGCAGTCTGGAAAATTGCATGGATGCTCCAGAAAGAGTCGGACTTTGTTTCCTGGAAAGGGTTAGTTCAATTATTATTTAAATATATATAAATATGGACCACCAAAATAGCTAATTTTGTAAGAACAGATTTAGAGAAAAGGTAGATATTGTTCTTTATGTTTTTATATTTTTAGAGGAGACATCACTCAAGCAAGTATTTAATGCTAAACCAGGTTTTGTTACAGAAACTGGTGCAATAGGATATCGACAGGATGCAAATGGCCATTGTGTTCTGTAGGAAATGCTTCAATGGCTCAGCTTGTGTCCACTGACCCCTGGATGATCCCAGGAGTCCAAGGACCATCCCAGCTATGAAGATGTGAGAGTTGGGAATCATCTTAGCACAACCATTCTTGGCTTGGTTAATTTTTAGCCTGAGATGCCTTGGTATTCCCCTCTAATACATGTGAAGTCTTAGTAGAATCAAATGTAGCCTGGCTTTCAGACCCAAGGCATCTATCACAGGAACTTTGCAACACAGAGAGCTGTTTTTTTGTTTTGTTTTGTTTATTCTATGAGATCATTCAGGGAAGCTCATTTCTTCATGTCCCAAGAGTATGCTTAATACAGTTGACTTCTCAAGTTTTGTAACCATACTCTCCTCCATTAGAGTTTCCTCTCAGAATGTTCTCTGCTTATCTACCGTATTTTTCGGACCATAAGACGCACCGGACCATAAGACGCACCAGTTTTTAGAGAAGGGAAATGAAAAAAAGATTCTGAAACAAATAGTGTCCTAAAATATTTTATGTGCATTAAAACCCAACATCACAGTCATAAACACATGTAATCAACCCTGTAAAGTAAACAGCAGCATTTAAAACCATTTTAGAGCCGGGCAAGCACACAGAGACCACACAGAGCCGGGCAAGTAAAAAAACTTTTTTTTTAAAAGTATATGTGTAGGCTATATTTGGACCATAAGACGCAGGGACTTTTCCCCCCCACTTCTGGGGGGGAAAAAGTGCGTCTTATGGTCCGAAAAATACGGTAGTTCTTTCTGTTCCTGAAATATCAGTTCTGTCTTAATTTGAGAGTCTATTGCATAGCAGAGATTATTGAAAGCTTCCTAATATATATCTGAGAAAGTATTTATGGACTGAGAAAATGATAAGGTTAAGGAAGAAATTTGTGTTATTACCTTTCTCAACATATCCTAAATTGAAACATATTTAAATTATGCCCATATTTTCCCCTAAGCAGCAGCAGTATCTCTTTCCTTTGGACTCCTGTCAGACTTAATGACCATGGTATTCACTGGGGATTTTACATTTACTATGAATCTTTACATATATTCATGAATTCTTTCTCCACTTGATGGAAAACTTTTTGAGGCAGGGTCCATATCCTATTTATCTTTGTACTAGTATCTTTTATAAGGTTAGCAGAGTCCTTGGTAACCAGTAATGGTTTAATACATGCCTTTTGATATGTTTATTCATTTAACAGCTATCTACTGAGAACATACTATGCATCAACCACTATGCTAGGCTATGTGGGTACCAAACCCAAGACTATTCACAGAGAGAAATAAGGAAGCCATTATGTACAGTGTGAATTGTGCTATGTTGGAGATATACAAATGATTCTATAGGGGTCACGAAGAAGTAAATCTTACATAGACCGAAGATATAAATAATGCTTTAATAGAAGAAATGACTCATGAGATGATTGTTAAAGAGTGAGTAAGAGGCATCCCATTAGATAAGGCTCAAATAAAGGTGGTTCCAGGGAGAGAGAATAGCATGGGCAGATGTCTAATGGGTTATGGTATAATAATATGTCTCAATGATAAATCAAGGACCTTGGAAGTTAGCTACAAATTCACTCACCAGGCAATCAAGTGACTAACACCATAGGAAGAGCATATTTCTTGGAAACCTATTAGCTCACAGTTGTGAAAATATGAGTTTGCTTTTATAGTTCATTCAGAGAAGGCTTTTCTCTCTCTAACTCTCAAACTTGGTAAGTAGAAGCTGTAAAATTACTTGGATAATTATGTGCCCCTCTATTGTTCTGATGGACATGCTATTCTACTATAAAGAGGATTCTTGACCAGCTGCCAGTGTGGCAGCACTTTAGGCTACATTCTCTATAATGCTTAGCCACACTCACTCTTGCTCATACTTTCTTTTTTATTGATTAAGGTATTACATATGAGTCTATATCCCCTAGCCCTCACCCCTCGCTGCTGTCTGTGTCCATTGGTTATGCTTATATGCATACATACTAATCTTTTGGTTGATCTCTTCCCTGTACTCCCACCATCCCCTACCTTCTCTCTGAGGTTTGATGGTCTGATCGATGCTTCTCTGTCTCTGGATCTGTTGTTGTTCATCAATTTATGTTGTTCATTATAATCCGCAAATGACTGAGATCATGTGATGTTTATCTTTCTCTGACTGACTTATTTCACTTAACATAATGCTCTCCAGCTTCATCCATGCTGTTGCAAATGGTAGGCCTTCCTTCCTTTCTACAACAGTATAGTATTCCACTGTGTAGATGTACCACAGTTTTCTAATCCACTTATCTTCTGATGGGCATCTAGGCTGTTTCCAAATCTTAGCTATGGTGAATTATGCTGCTAGGAACATAGGGGTGCTTATATTTTTTCTGATTGGTGTTTCTGGTTTCTTGGGATATATTCCTAGAAGTGGGATCACTGGTTCAAATGGGAGTTCCATTTTTAGTTTTTTGAGGAAACTCCATACTGTTCTCCATGGTGGCTGCACCAGTCTGCATTCCCACCAGGAATGCATGAGGGTTCCTTTTTCTCTGCATCCTCGCCAGCACTTCTCAGTTGTTGCTTTGTTGATGATAGCCATTCTGACAGGTGTGAGGTGGTACCTCATTTGCTCATATATTCTTGATAAGAAAAGTACATGTTCATAATTGGTAATACATTTGAACTTGCTTTTATCACAGAAAACTGATTTTCAGATGTATGCAAAATATTGTCAGAATAAACCCAGATCAGAGGCAATTTGGAAGAAGTATTCAGAATGCGCCTTTTTCCAGGTATAGTAATTATTCAGGTTTTGGATATATTCTTTCTGAAAGATACTGGAATATTTCTGATTTATAAATCCATTTTCTACTTTAAGTATGCATATATTGATTAAAAAGCAATTTTACCCTCCCCAAAATACACACATATGCACACACATACACATTTATGGCTGATCCGCAGAGGCAACCAATTTTAGCTATTCTTTTGTTTTTTAACTCTAAATCTTCAATATCATGCTTATGTTTTTGCTTCCCAACATGGATTAAGGATTGATAATTGTTTGAATTAGATTGTATATTGGGTTTTATCCATATCCAGATGGGGGTCCTGAATCTTACATAGGTATAACCTCTTCCACTTCTTTTGTATTCTGCACTTCCTATATACACATTTCATCCTACACAGCCCCCACCTTGGCCTTATTATAGAACCTACCATGTTCCCAGGACCCAAAGTTATGACCCTTATATTTATAGTGGCAGGGAATACAGAGCCATTTAATGAGGGCTGTATTTTTCTTGTGATATTAAAAAAAAACCTCTTCTCATGCCCAATCTGATTTATATTCAGTATAACCTATTTCTTTTCTGGCCCTTGGCCTGTGGAACTGAACCTTCTGTTATTTTTCTTGGATATTTTGAAGAACTTTTTAGTAATGTTCATCTATGGTCATTTGTTGCTTTTTTGCCCTTTGAACATTCCACATCAATGTGCATTTATATACAAATATTTATTCTTTGAAATTTTGAATTTTTTACCTCACAAATCCTTGAATTAATGTTTACTGTCATTTTTTTCAAATATACTGCCTCAAATGGTCATACCACATGTAACATTAATTTTTCTGGTAAAATTTCCTTGTGATGTAAGAAACCTGGCATCATTGGTCCTAATCAATGAACACTTGGCATTTTCACAGGACGATGTCTTCATTTAAATTTACTTATAATTATATTTTAATCACAGGAATGTCAGAGAAAATTAAAACACAGACTTGGTCTGGATTCCTATTTACTCAAACCAGTACAAAGACTCACTAAATATCAGTTGCTGTTGAAGGTAAGTATATTAAGCGTTTGTTTCTTTCTTTACTTTGGGTCAGATGTGCTAAAGTCATGAAAAGGGATTAGAAGACTAGAAAACACTAGAAATAGGTAGACTCGGTGACTAGGAAGGCTAGGTTTAACAGTAGGATCAACTCAGTGTGTTGCTTTGGCTCACTGGCTAAGCAAGTACTGGAAGCATAGATGTAAAGTTGAGAATATTTGGTGTCTCTTTAGCTATTTAATTGTACATACATGTTACATTGACATAACATTTACTACAGAACTTTTACTGTTGTTAAGAAGAATTAAGCAAATATTTCTTATAGTTTTGCAGTTGCATTTAATATGGGTCTTCTCAATGGAAAGTGAAGATGGCACACCCCTTGTGTAATGTGAAAGTGTTGTGTTAAATATAAATAGAGCATAGCTTGTTTTTTTGTTTTTGTTTTTTAATATATATTTTATTGATTTTACACAGAGTAATTGAGAGGGATAGAGAGTTAGAAACGTCGATGAGAGAGAAACATCAACCAGCTGCCTCTTGCACACCCCCTACTGGGGATGTGCCCGCAACCAAGGTACATGCCCTTGACCGGAATCGAACTCGGGACCTTTCAGTCCGCAGGCCGACGCTCTATCCACTGAGGCAAACCGGTCTCGGCCAGCATAGCTTGTTTTAAAATGTATTTGCACAACATCATACTCAATGGGCAAAAACTAAAACCATTTTCTCTAAGAACAGTAACAAGACAGGGATGTCTGCTTTTAGCACACTTATTCAATATAGTACTGGAAGTCCTAGCCATAGTGATCAGACAAGAAGGAAAAATAAAAGGCATCCAGATTGGAAAGGAGGACATAAAACTGTTTTATTCAGAGATTACATGACATTGTACATAGAAAACCATAAAGACTCCATAAAAAACTACTAGATTTTAATAAATGAATTCCACAATGTAGCAGAATACAAAATTAGAACACAGTAATTGATGATATTTTTATACACCAATAATGAACTCTTAGAAAGAGAAATGAAAAAAAATGATCTAATTTACCATTGCAACAAAAATTAAGATATTTAGTAATAAATTTAGCCAAGGAGGTAAAAGACCCACTTTGAAAATTATAGGATTTTGAAAAAAGAGATAGAGGAAGATATAAACAAGTGGAAGAATATATCATGTTCATGGATTTATAGAATCAACATTGTTAAAATGTCCATATTACCCAAAGCAATCTATAGATTCAATGCAATCCCTATTAAGGTATCAATGGTATATTTCACAGGTCTAGAACAAACACTACAAAAATTTATATGGAACCAAAAAAGACCCCTAAAAGCTGCAGCAATCTTAAGAAGAACAAAGTTGGAGGGATCAGAATACTAGATATTATGTTATACCACAAAACCGCTGTACTCAAAACACCCTGATACTGGCACAAGAACAGAGAACCCAGCAATTGACCCAAGCAATTATGCTCAATTAATATTTGACAAAGGAGGCAAGAGCATACAATAGAGTAAAGACAGAGTCTTCAATAAATGGTGCTGGGAAAATTGGACAGGTACATGCAAATAAATGAAACTAGACTACCAACTTACACCATACAGAAGAATAAATTCAAAACAGGCAAAAATACTTAAATATAAGTCTTGAAACCGTTTAATATTAGAAGAAGGCATAGGCAGAAAAAAATCTCAGACATCTCTCATAGCAATATGTTTACAGATACATCTCCCAGGGAAAAGGAAACTAAGGAGAAAAATCAACAAATGGGACTACATCAAAATAAAAAGCTTTTGCACAGCAAAAGAAACCATCAATAAAATGAAAATAGAACCCACTGCATGGGAGAACATATTTGCCAATGATACATCTAATAAAGGGTTAATTTCCAAAATATATAAGGAACTCATACAACTTAACAAAAAGAAGACAAACAATCCAATTAAAAAATAGACAAAGGACATAAATAGATACTTCTCTAAAGTGGACATACAGAAAGCCAAAAGACACATGAAAAAGTGCTCAAAGTCACTAATCATCAGAAATACAAATTAAAATGACAATGTCCTCACACCTGTGAGAGTGACTATTATCAACAAATCAACAAATGACAAGTGCTGGCAAAGATGTGGAGAAAAGGGAACCCTAGTACACTTCTGGTGGGAATACAGACAGGTGCTTCCACTGTGTAAAACAGTATGGAGTTACCTCAAAAAATTAAATATGAAACTACCATTTGACCTGGTAATTCCACTTCTAGGAATATATCCTAAGAAGTCAGAAACACCAATGAGAAATAATATGTGTACCCTATGTTCAGACCAGCTCAATTTACAATAGCTAAGATCTGGAAACAGCCCAAGGGCACGTTAGCAGATGAGAGGATAAAAAAAACTGTGGTATACCTACACAATGGAATACTATGCAGCTTAAAATACAAACAACTCTTACTATTTGCAACAGCATGGATAGACTTGGAAGGTACTATGCTAAGTGAAATAAACCAGTTAGAGAAAGATAAGTATCACATGATCTCAGTCATATGTAGAATCTAATGAACAAAATAGACTGATGAACAAAATGGATCCAGAAACGTAGCAACATGAAACAAACTGATGAGTTTCAGAGGGAAGACAGGCTCTATGCATAGCTAAGAGACACAGACAATAGAGTGGTGAAGGCCTAGGGATAGTTCAGAGTGGAGGAGGTCAATGGGGAAGAAACAAGCATACAAAGAGGACATCTGTAATACTTTCAACAATAAAGGAGAAAAGTAAATTTTGTGTATGTACAGGACCAAAAAATGTGATTGCTTTACAAACTAATCTCTAGTATGTCCTAAAAACTTTGTTCTTTAGCTCTAAAAGCATTGAATGTCCCTTGCTTTATACTGTTTAGGCAATAGTCCATTTCTTCTCCAATTTTGACATTGTTATTAAATATAGTATTAATGTGACAAATAGCATATGAAAGGAACTACTCAAAAAAGTGACATTATTTTTGAACTCCTCCTTGAAAGCATGTTGGTTGAAATTTTACTCATTTTATCCAGCTATTAATATCTGCCTACTATTAAAGTCTAATTCTTGACTTCTAATTGCAGGAACTATTAAAATATAGCAAAGACTGTGAAGGATCTGAACAATTAAAGGTGGCGCTTGACACAATGCTGGATTTACTGAAGTCAGTTAATGACTCTATGCATCAGATTGCAATAAATGGCTATCTTGTAAGTAGATTTTGATGGTTGTTACAATTTTAGGAGGTAAGCATGTTCACATACCTTTCTTCCTCTCTTGGAACCATTTGAGAAATAAGAAGAGGCAGGCAAATGGATATCTAAATGTCAGCATTATTGCTGACAATGCTAAGGAGAGAATTGCTTCATGTCACCAGCCAAGTTGATTTGTGATACTCTCTTTGTCCCCAAAAGCCTACCCCCAAGTCTAGACCTTGTGTGATCTAGCCTGCTTGAAGGAATGTTTGGGTCTTCTAAGGAGACCTATTGTCCCAGTATTTCCTCTTGTCCTACTCCAGGATAGGTATTGAAGAAAAAGATAAAATCTTTAGAGGTAGCTCCACCCAGTGGAGAAACTTGGATTGGTAGGTGTTACTAGCCAATCAAGACTGAGGAAGAGATAAGGAGGGTTTCCCTAGCTAAAAACTACCTCCACCTGGAGACGTGAACATGAAGCCAGGATAAAGGAAACTTTTTAGATTTCATACCCCATAGTAATTTTGTAACTATTTGACACATGGCATGGTTTCATATAAGAAGTTTAAAAACTATATCAATTATGCATCAGGATTTTAGTAGTTTAAGCTAAACACTGTAATATTGATGTCAAGAATCTGAATGTAGCTCTGCCTTGTATTAATGAGTTTTGATTTTTAATTTTAGGGAAACCTAAATGAGCTGGGCAAGATGATAATGCAGGGTGCATTCAGTGTTTGGACTGGACACAAAAAAGGTGCAACAAAAATGAAGGATTTTGCTAGATTCAAACCAATGCAGCGGCACCTTTTCTTGTACGAAAAAGCCATTGTTTTTTGTAAAAGACGTGTTGAAAGTGGAGAAGGCTCTGGTAGATACCCGTCATACAGTTTTAAGCGCTCTTTAAAGGTAAGACAATTTAAATTCCATCATCTAATTTTCCTTCACATATACATTTAAGTTTGTGTGATTTTTCACTTCAAGTGAGTGGGTTTTATACTTTAGTGGTACATCCCTTTGTTTAAACAATATTTTAATTGAGGTATAATTTACCTATTATAATACATTATATTAGTTTCACGTGTACAACAATTTTGTATTTGTATTCATTGTGATGTGATCACCACAATAAGCCTAGTTAACATCTGTCACCACACTGTTAAAATGTTTTCTTGTGATGAGAACTGTTAGTGACTTTCAAATATGCAACATAATATTAATTATAATCATCATGCTATACCTTACATCCTGAGGACTTATTCATTTTATAACTGGAAGTTTTTCTTCCCTCTGACACCCTTCCCCCATCTATAAAATCTTAAGTAGAGGTCTAATATATTGGGAATAGAAGTCAGGTAAAGCAGAATTTCTCCGCCGGATAGGAGTGAGGCAGGGCAGAGCTTTGCCTCCATCCTTTTTCTTTCTCACTCCAATCCTAAGCAGTCTCTTAGAGTGAAATAATGAGAAGTGACCCAGGCTCCTCCATGAGCACTCTTACTGGTGATACTGTGTGGAGTTCTTGGTATCAGGGAACTTTTATAACAAGAGACAACGAGGAAATAATTTATTCCTTTTTCTTAGTATAATTTAAAAATGAAATGTGCTTAGCCCTTTCCCACCTTCCTTTGTGTATCCCTCCTCCATTCCCTAGAATCTCCCTCAGTATTCAAACCTACCTACACCTGAATCCTGTCCATACTTGTCCTGTCCTATCTTTTGAAATTATTTTCTTCTCTCTTATAACCCAAACCACCATTCTGTTCTAATATTAGTTTGGTATGAAAATGAGGCCATGTTTGAAGGAGCCACAGGCAGTCCAGTGATATTCGCAGCTGGTTCTGATGTTGGACAAGAGGAACTTGCAATTCGCATAAGTCTGTAATTGGCGAATTTTATTTTTTACACCTAATTAGTTTTATCTTTCAAGTTTTAAATTGTAAAAGCAATATAGCATTTGCTATAGAAAAATTTGCAAAGTAGAGGTAATTACTACACTTGATTCCCCAACCACAATCATTTTAGTCATTTTTCTTTTTCTTTTTTCTTTTTTTAAAATTTAGGTTCTTTATTGTTTAAAGTATTACATGAGTCTCCCTTTTCCTCCATTGACCTCTCCCCAGCCACTCCAGGCCCAACACATGCCCTCATCCCTCATGCATACAATTCATTTTTCAGGAGCATGTTCTCTCATTGTTGTATAATTTGAGAATTGATGACATTTTTATCAGCAGTGATAAAGAGAACAGGCAATGTGTCCTGAGATAGGCCTGAGGTGTTTATGTCAGAAGGCTACTACATAAGCAGGCCCTGCTTTTGACTCTTCTGAGGGTCACCAGTTCCATGCTATTCCTAACAAGGTTCCTGGCCAGGGTTAGGTCTCCAACTGTCCTCTTCCCCTGCTTTACTTCTAAACTGTCAGGAGTGTCACGACTTCTTTAAAACTCTCACTTTTTAAAATAACGAATACCCAATTGCTCCTTTGATATTAGCAACCCACCCTCAAATCCCCAAATCTCCAAGGGTCTTTTATGCTTCTAATAAACATTAGTTGAGAAACAAAGCGTTTACAACTGATATTGGACAGAGTGCAGATCTCTTCTTGGGAAGGTACTTTACCTAAATCCATTTGGTTAACTCTTTACTTGTGGGGTGACTTACTTAATACTGAATGCAATATTTCTGATTTTTAAATTTTCATGTTACCTTTAATTTAATTTGTCACAATGATGGACCCACCAACAGAATATTTCTAGAATATATTGGAGTAAGTAAGGGCTATTGTGAGGTATTATAATTATGAGAATTCAAACTACAGTGGTAACCGTGGAAACAGAAGATGGGATAGATGTAAGAAACATTTCAATGAAATGTAGCTATACGGGCTGTTGACTTACTAGATGCAGGAAATAAATACCTGACATTTGAAGAGAAAAAAATGAGTGATTTTTCTTTGGTTCCTCAATAATTCCTAGTATTTCTAATAAAAGAGATTAGTCAGTGATGCATGCAAGGATTTAGACCAGGATTACTGGGAAAATAGTGATGCCGCTAACAGAAAGATGGAAGGTAGGCTATTTCTTAAGCCTCACTATGCTTATTTCCTCTTCCTTAGCTATCATGAGATCCCAGAATTAAATAATTGCTAGCATTACTAGTCATTGTGTTAGGTAATACTCTGGGTTCCTGGTTTCACAGTCTTGGCCTTGGTAGAGAGGATCAATGCATATGCTCTCTATAGCTGAGCAATTTCTCTCACTGTTAGTGGACTTCATTATAAAAAGCTGCAATTCCATGCCCTGGCAATGTACTTTCTAAGAATTTTGTTCTATATTTTATAAGCCCTTTCTATGCAAAGAAAGGTCCCTGAGGTTAATCAGATGGAGAGATTTGAGTTCCTCAGAGACTTCAGTTCATGTATTTATTATTATCATCTATTTAAAAATATGTATTTATTGATTTTTTTTGAGAGAGAAATATCGATGTGTGAGAGAAATGTGAATCTATTGCCTCCTCTACACACCTGCCTGACTGGGGATCAAACTTGCAACCTGGGTATATGCCCTGACTGACAAGATGGTGCTCAGCCAACTGAGCCACGCTGGCAAGGGCTATCATCTATTAAAAAATTAACATACCACACAATACTTACTATGTGGTATGAATTGTTCTGAGTGTTTATAAATATTGTTAACTCATTTGATCCACATAGCAATTTTATATAAGTGGGAACTATTAAGTAACCTATTATTCCCATTTTGCGGATGGGAAAGCTAAGTTCTAGAGAGGTGATTTACCCATGAGCACATAGCCGGTGCAGTGCAGCTTCAGACCCAGGCAGATTGCTCTATACTCCATGCTCTCAATCACTACACCAAGGTGGGAAGCCTGTCCATATTCATTCTTTTATTCCTTCATTCTTTTTTAATCCCCATTCTCCACAGTTGCCTCCTCTCTATCCTTGTAGCAACCATTCTAATTTATTTAATGTATACTGCCCAGTTTGTGTGTTTTTGATAAATGTATACCAATATTCTGTATACATGTAATTTGGAACTGAGAATAATATTGTCTGATAAATATAGTGGTTACATTTCCAGGGTAACTTGAAAAATCTCATATAATCTATAATGATGCGTTGTATGTGTTGCAAATGAAGTTAAGAAAGCAAACTAATGTTTACAAACTCATTGTATGCCCAAAAACATTTAATGTCTGTTATTTAATCCTATGTCAACTCTATGAAATAGGTATTCTCCCCATTTTATAGTTGAGGAAACTTAAGTTCAGAAAGGTTAAGCAACCTGCACCAAGAAACATAACTACAATACATATTTAAGTGGTAGAGATGGCAATTCCAATCTCAGCCTCTTGGACTCCAAAGCCCTTGCTCTTTCCATCTTATCATGCTATTGGGACAAAGTAATGTATCAAAGTGAAATCAATTTAAATAGACATTGCATATGAAATTATTATTTTAAATTCTGATGTTTCAGCAAAAGTAGGTTAGAGTTGTTGAGTAGGTATATAAAGATATTTTTGGACATTCAGAAAATAATTTCTGACTACATTCAGGATAGATGTCATAGGCTTTTTTATTTATATATCACACTTCATTTTTAAATATAGTCCTTTTTATTTTCCTTGATATGGAGATCTGACTAGCACTACTTTGAATGCCTATCAGCACTAAATAGGTTCATTTGTAGGGCTCATAAGTGGAATAGAAAGTAAGATATTCCTTTAGATTATTGGGCAAGAGTTGAAAGAAAAGAGAAGGGAAACGGGGACTAAAGAAGAATGTGTATAAAAGGGAGTAAAATTGCTCAAAATGGAATTAACCATGCTATTAGCAGCACAGAATGAATTAAAATGGAAGAGACTGTGCTATGCACAATCATATGGAGGTCAAGAAAAACTGTGGTAAGGAAGGGATATTATATCTAAAAATTTGGCTATAAAAAGACACCATTTTCCCATGACAGATTATTTGTTTTCTAGAAAGGCTGAGAGAATGGTGGAACTGGAGGGACTCTTTGTGTACCTGGCTAGTTTTGCCACCCCATAAGTTAGATGTTTGTAACATATAGGATTTCTATAGAGATAAGTAATAAGCTGTAAGATTACCTTATTTTGCAAATGATTGTTAAAAATAACTATTTAAATTAATGTTGGATGACCTTTTCACACAGTTGTTGCTTACTTTTACTTCTTTTGACATAATAATTTGTTTTCAGAGTATACAATTAATTTATAACAGAATTCAATCTTAGATGGATTGCTTGAATATTCAGATATATAACTTTTGTTTCAATCACTGGAATGGTACATGCAGTTTGCACTATAAGTGCATTGTACACTGAAAACATTTAAATATTCAGGTCTGTGAGTGAAATATCATTTCATATAATTTCATATTCTTTGAATATAAAATGTGTATTTTGCCCAAGTGAGAAATTTTATTAAGACTATGATGGGGGTAGGTTTAATGTATTTTTGGATTCAAAATGCTCATGAAAATTTTGACATGTATTATAGATGGATGAAGTTGGAATCACTGAATATGTGAAAGGAGATAAACGCAAGTTTGAAATCTGGTATGCTGGGAAAGAAGAAATTTATATTGTCCAGGTTGGTAAAGTTTTTCTAGAAATCATTTTGGTTACATTATAAAATGTCACATTCCTTTCATGTAGGTCACTTAAATATTATTTAGTTATTTTTTTTTCTGGTATAGTTGTACATTTTTTCAGTAATGGGTAAGGTGACCAGATGTCTTTCCAAAAATCGGGATTTTTTAAAACATCCAGCGGGATGCAGGACAAATTGTTAAAAATTGGGACTGTCCCACCAAAAGCGGGACATCTGGTTACCTTAGTAATGGGCTTTTTTAAACGACACATGCCTATGGTGATAGAAACTTGATCTATGTTACTGAAGACTATGGTTAAATCTCTGTCCAGATGTGCTTTAAGGTCCAACCTGTTTAAGTTAAGGGTAGAAGAATGAGAACATTTCAAGAAGATGTTGGAATTTCAATAATTATTTGTATCACAACTTGTGACAGGTGACCATGATATTATCTGTTTAAAGTGCCCAGTGCTTTTTCTTTCTTTTAATTCTGTACTAGGTGATTACAATTTCATAAAAATATGTTTTCTTGGCTTGATTTAGTTTTAAGACTTCTTACTATCTTTAAACAAATGTGTCTTTTAAGTAAATGGAGGATATTTAAGGAAGCTTGGATACTGTCATCAGTTATCAAGATTACTATGAAATAGTAATCTATTTTCTCTTTTCAGAAATAGTGGAACTTGTTTTATTTTACAAAAATTAAACATAAAACATTTATATTTTAAAAGAACCCTCCTACAAAAAATAACTGAATATTATATTTCATATTTAGTGTGAGTGTTGTTATTTAAAGGCAGTTTCTCAAAATGGGTTTGACTATTATTTCATCTAATTTGATGGTTGCTTATTTGCTTCTTAGAAGTTTGAAGAATCAAAATGTTAGAGATTGAATATGGTGGTTCAGGACTCATGTTCAGATTCATATTTGATAAACTTAATTATATTAGTTTAATATAAATTATCTTTTTTAGAGGAAACATGTCTTCTTCTCCCTTCTAAAAATCTTTAGGCTTCAAATATGGATGTGAAGATGATATGGCTAAAAGAGATAAGAAATATTTTATTGAAGCAACAAGAACTTCTGACAGGTAAACTTATAAGCCAGTATTTTTTTTTTTTTTTAAGAAAAAGAAGTATAGTAAAGTTCATTGACTCAGATTTCGTGATAAGTTTTACCAGGAATGGGAATGATATTTACTTTAAACTATTTGTAATGAAAGGGCTTGTTAAACTAGTAAGAGATCAAGACTTATGGGCTTGTTTAAACTATTTTGGAGAATGAACTTTACATTAGAAAATGAGCTCTAGCGCTCAAGAAGCAGTTGTGAAATAACCTATCAAACCCACTGTATTAATTCTGAGGCCTTACCATGAAGCAACTATTTAGGACCTCAAGTAATCAGTGGTTGGCAATGTTGGGGTAAGGTACTTTTAGTAATATACTTGAAGTTCTTGAATGAAATATTAAATTGCTCAGTCCTTTTCCATATTCCAAATTCAGAACTGGTTATTTCAAGACTGAGAAGTTTAATAGGAATGGGGGTGTGTGTGAATGCATGTAAGTCATTGGTCTTCAAGGAAGGAAGAAGTGTGGCTTCTGAATGATGCTTAAATAAACTTTCTTTTATTCCACAATTAAAGAACAACAGCAGCGTAATCAGTTAACTGAACAGGACCAGCTTTCGTCTCAACAGAATGATGAGTAAGTGATTATTTTTTAAAATTTCTTTATTGATTAAGGTATTACATATGAGTCCATATCCCCTAATTGCCCCCCACCCCACTTCTGTATAAGCCCTCACCCCTTGCTGTCTGTGTCCATTGGTCATGCTTATATGCATGCATACTAGTCTTGGTTGATCTCTTCCCTGTAATCCCACCCTCCCCTACCTTCCCTCTGAAGTTTGACAGTCTGATTGATGCTTCTCTGTCTTTAGATCTGTTGTTGTTCATTATTTTATGTTGTTCATTATAATCCACAAATGAGTGAGTTCATGTGATATTTATCTTTCTCTGACTGACTTATTTCACTTAACATAATGCTCTCCAGCTCTATCCATGCTGTTGCAAATAGTAGGTGTTCTTTCCTTTTTACCACAGCTTAGTATTCCATTGTGTAGATATACCACAGTTTTCTAATCCACTTGTCTGCTGATGGGCATCTAGGCTGTTTCCAAATTTTAGCTATGGTGAATTGCGCTGCTATGAACATAGGGGTGCTTATATCTTTTCTGATTGGTGTTTCTGGTTTCTTGGGATATATTTCTAGAAGTGGGATCACTGGTTCAAATGGGAGTTCCATTTTTAGTTTTTTGAGGACACTCCATTCTGTTCTCCATGGTGGCTGCACCAGTCTGCATTCCCACCAGGAGTGCACGAGAGTTCCTTTTTCTCTGCACCCTCTCCAGCACTTGTTATTTGTTGATTTGTTGATGATAGCTATTCTGACAGGTGTGAGATGGTACTGCATTGCCATTTTGATTTGCATCTCTCAGATGATTAGTGACTTTGAGCATATATCTCTTGGCCTTCATTCTGTCTTTTTTTTTTTTGAAAAGATTCTATTTAGGTCCGTTGCCCATTTTTTTTATTGGATTATTAATCTTTTTATTAAGTTGTATAAGTTGCCTGTAGATGTTGGAGATTAAAACTTTATCAGTGATAACATTGGCAAACATGTTCAAAGTCACTAATCATCTGAGATATGCAAATGAAAATGACAATGCGGTACCATCTCACACCTGTCAGAATGGCTATCATCAACAAATCAACAAACTGACAAGTATTGGCGAGTCTGTGGAGAAAAAGGAACCCTTGTGCACTGCTGGTGGGAATGTAGACTGGTGCAGCCACTGTGGAGAACAGTATAGAGTTTCCTCAAAAAACTAAAAATGGAACTCCCATTTGACCCAATGATCCCACTCCTAGGAATATATACTAAGAAAGAACACCAATCAGAAAGGATATGTGTACCCCTATGTTCATAGCAGCACAATTCACCTTAGCTAAGATTTGGAAGCAGCCTAAATGCCCATCAGCAGACGAGTTGTTTAGAAAACTATTGTACATCTACCCAATGGAATACTATGCTGCCATAAAAAAGGAATTCTTACCATTTATAGCAACTTGGATGAAACTGGAGAACATTATACTAAGTGAAATAAGTCAGTCAATGAAAGAAAAATTCCATATGATGTCACTCATTTGTGAATAATAAAGAACATTATAAACTAATAAACAAGAAAATAGATACAGAGGCAGTAAAGCATCAAACAGACTGTCAAATTATAGCGGGAAAGTTGGGGAGAGGTGTGGGAGATAAGAGATGAACAGAAGGACCTGTATGCATTCATATAAACATAACCAATGGACGCAAAACACTGGGGGTAAGAGCATGCATGGAAGTGGGGTGCGGGGCAATGGTAAGATATGTAAACATATAATACCTTAATAAAAATGGAAAAAAATAAAGTGCATATATATTATGAAATATTCACCATAGTTAAGATAATTTACACATCCATTGCTTCACACAGTTATCCTTGTGTGTATGTATGTATGTGGGGGTTAAGAACATTTAAGATCCATCTCTTAACAAATTTCAAATATACAGTATTATATACTATGGAAAATTTAAGCAATATACCTGCTTTGGGTCAAGAAAGGAGTAATTATTTTTCTTGCATTTTAAAGAGAGACCTTGCTGGCTTGGATCCTAGGGTTTAAGTTTTTGCATATTATGAACTATTACCACACAGACTTATATGACGGGGAGTTAGCTCTTTTTGAATGGATTCTCAGAGTATATTCTTGACACATGGCATCAGTAGGACAAATACCATTTTTAATTTCTAATTATTCTCTGGCTATGTAAAAACTCACTTTTAAAAAAAATCCATTTACTATTTCAGAAGGCAACAGCAAGCTTTTGCAGTCCCCAATATAACTAAACCAGAGCACACCAGCACTGTGGTAGGGGTCCAGGAGGCAACCTCAACAGTTCAGGAGGGAGCAAATACAGGTATGTGTCGTGGTTATCCAAAGGTCAGATTTATGATTGTGCAGATTCTTTTCTCTCATTGTTCATTTTGAAAATCTATTATCTTTATATAAAGAAAATAAAATTAAAGTATTTTTGTAAGGCTTATATGTCTTGGATTTTCAAGAAGCAGTGATTGTCAAAGTGCAGTCCCTGAATCAAGAGTATTAGCATCACCTAGGAATTTGTAAGGAAGGCTTGTTCTCTGGCTCTGCCCAGGACATTCTGATTCAGAAATTCTGGGAGTAAAATGCAGCCATCTGTGATGTACAGTTCTCATGTGAGTGTTTCTGATTCATTTTCAAGTCTGGAAACTCCTGCTACGTAGTGTAGGTAGAAAGATGAATAAAACACATATTGGCTTAAAGTAGGGGTGTCGAACTCAATCAGAGAAGGGGCCAAAATCTAAAATCCAGCCTAAATTGTGGGCCAAATGGTTTACTGAACAGTCATAAACTGTCATTGTGATGGAAACGCAGCGGAGTGCAGTGATGACAGCGCGGTGCGGGCCACATTGCAAGGCCTGGCGGGACGGATTTGGCCCGCGGGCCTTGTGTTTGACACATGTGGCTTAAAGGAATGCACAATTTACTCACCATAGATTTAACAAATAGAGTTATTTATACCTGGAATAGTTTTTAATGCAAATTGTTTTATTAACACTATTTCAAAAATTTGTTTAAATTCATCAAATATAACACACCATGTGTGCCAGGAATTGTGTAAAGCCCTGGGCAAAAAAGTTTAAGATACACTCAGCTGCTATCCTCATGATGCTAGGAAGGAAAAAAATAATCCAACAAGCAGTTAAACTGAAACTGGTTTGGCTCAGTGGATAGAGCATCGGCCTGCAGACTGAAAGATCCCAGGTTCGATTCCGGTCAAGGGCATGTACCTTGGTTGTGGGCACACCCCCAGTAGGGGGTGTGCAAGAGGCAGTTGATTGATGTTTCTCTCTCATCGATATTTCTAACTCTCTATCCCTCTCTCTTCCTCTCTGTAAAAAATCAATAATATATATATATATATATATATATATATATATATATATATATATATTTGTTTTTGTTTTTTAAAGCCACAAAAACAAGCAGTTAAAATTAAAATGAGAAAAGTATTATGAAAGGGAAGTACAAGGTGCTGCAGAAGCATCCAGCAGGGTCACCTAAACAACTGCGGGATCAACAGCATAGACCTCCCTGGAGAAATGCCTTACAGATTGCCTGATATGCAGTAATGATGATGGTTTCCTAATATGGAAGAGTTCTCTATTAGTTGAGGAAAACAAGTAACAATAACATTGCTCAACTTTCAGTTATCCATTTAAAGGTCACTTCCATCAGCTCATTTGTGCTATAGCCCCAGAGCAGTCAAGAGGGAGCCTAGTACTGATGTCTTCATTTGACAGGTGTAGAAACCAAGTCAGAGACAGTTGGCATAACTGTTATGAAATTACATGAACAGTTTAGTGTTCAGTGTGGCCAAGATGTGATACTGGTAATTCTCTGCCTACATTACATTGCTTAATTCATATCTTAACATGCAAGGCTCTTATATGACATAGTCTCTGCCTGATAAGAGAGATAAGACAAGTAAAACATATTACTAGTAGAATGATATAAGTGCTATTTGAATGGACAAATAAAAAGGCTACAGAAAATAATTTTGGAAGATATTATTTTCTGTAAGAAGGGGTAAATATCCTCTAGAATATTATTTAAGTTATTATTTTTTATTTTGTTTTTTAATTCTCACCCAAGGACATCCCCCCCCCCCATTGATATTTAAAGAGAATGGAAGGGGAGAGAGAAAAAGAGGGAAGAGAGACAAACACATCAATTGGTTGCCTCCTGCACACAGTCTGACCAGGGCCAGGATTGAGCCTGCAACCTAGGTACGTGCCCTTGACTGAAATTGAATCTGTGGGCCAGCACTCTAGCCATTGAACATAACTGGCTAGGTCTAACTTATTTTTAATAACTCTCACCAACCCCAACTTGAAACCATCCTAATAAATAAAATACGTGATATTTCTGAAATATCAGCAATTCTAAAACAGTGCAATCTCATTGGAGGTTTTATAATATTATAGGGAGATACTATTCTTGGACCACTGTGGACTTGCTTATTATAGTAAATTTTACTTGTCTCCTTGTGATGGACCAACACCATTAAGTAACTGCCACCCTCCATGTTTTTCTTATAGTTTGGACTGAAGAAATCTCTGAAGGCCGTGAGCCATGGTTAAACAACTATTTCTCTTCTTCCTATGTTGACGATGGAGAAGAAAAAACCCTACTGGTTAGTAATGACAAATGAAAATAAATAAATAGAAACTCTTAAGGCAGTTTTACTGATGAAATAAGTGAAGTATGTAGGGATATTCTTTTGTCAGCATCCTTGTTGTATATTCCATGGTCTAAAATTTTGAAACAATTATGAACATTCAATAAGCACTTTGCTCTGTAAGTAGAACTTATTTGTGCAATACATGGAGTTCCTACTGAAGTTGATGAGATGAATAGCCATCCATTCCAAATCTCTATGCATTGACCAGTTTCATCTTTAGTTAAATGTCACCACTGTGTTTTCAACCAAGGCATGTGAGATAAAATCAAAGAACAAAGAAGGGTCAAGTGTACTTTTAAAAAAAGTTTAGATTCCAGATTGGAAAATAGTGGAAATAAACATTACACATAAATAACATCTGAGGAATATATTTTAGTGGACTGTTGAAAAATGTGCTAATACCAAATGTCAGCATATTGGAGCAAGAGGTCACCCCATAAAACTAAAGGAGGTTGCTTTAAAGTAAAAGTAAGTGTTGTACTTACTTTCCCTATTTAAGTAGTTTGCAATGTTATGATCCTAGTGGATTTTTAGAGGGATATTAGGACTATTTAGGGTATATCTCCAATTTTCGGAAGTCACACCTTGGAGGTTTGGAATGATTCTTTGTAATGGACTGCTGCTTGATGCCCTTCAGAGCAACAAAATCAATTTGGCAGTTTTAATATTGAGCTATGAGAATGGTGGCATGGATAACCACAAAGCTGCAGAGCATTGACCTGAATGCATTCTTTTAAAAAGTAACAGAATGTTCTTTCTACTAATAATACAGTGACCATAAACATAGATGTATGGTAGTTTACAATTTACAATATTTCCTATTTAATATTCATAGTATTATTAAGAGGAAGGGCAGGCTTTATTACCTCCAATGGACAGAGGAGGAAACTGAGGCTCAGTGTTGTTGGGAGATTTGTCTAGAGTTAATTGTCTGGACCATAAGTGCTCAAACTTTTTAAAGTAGGAATCCTTTACATTCTTAAAAATTATTGATAATCCTAAAGAGTCCTTGTTTACATTTATTGATATTTATCATCTTATAAATTAAAACTAAGAAATATAACTATTTAGTCACTCTTTTAAAATATCAATAAACCCATTATAAGTTCATTTAAATAACATTTTTTATTAAAAATGACATTTTTCAAAACAAGATTTAGTGAAAAAATATTTTTGCAAGTCCCTTTAATCTGCTTTCGCATTCAGTCTGTTATGTTATTATATATCAGGTAGTTATTAGAAAACTCTACTGTATACTTGTGAGAGGATAAGAGTGAAAGGCAAATACTGTCTTCCTATGGATTTGATCTTGGAAACCCTGGGAAGGGTGTCAGGAACCCCCAAAGGTCTGTCTCCTGAACTCTGAGAACCACCAGTTTAAACTAATAAAAATAACTTCCATTTCTTTATTTAATACTGCTTGAGGATGGTAGTTATCCAGATGCAAGTGAAAAGTCAGGGGAAACCATTTGGAGTTTAAACATTTGCTGTATATAAATCTATGAGGGGATTGTCGAGAACTGAGAAAATCTTCAGTAAGCATTTTCCCAGCTGTAGTTTCAGAAAATAAAGCAAATATGCAAAACTGATTAGTGCTTTAATCATAGGGGATGGAAATGTAGAAAAACCTATTGGTTTTCCTCTTCTCCCAATAATTTCCTAAGTTGTGTTATTAAGGAAGTCATACAAAAAAATAGTTAACAACATACAAAAAAGAATGATTCCCCCAAAGCAAAATGGGTTGCAATGAGCTGCTCTTTTAGCCTCACTTTATAAAATGAAAAAAAAAAAGTCAGAATTAATGGGTGCTGCTTCTCTCATAGAGCTGGTATTGGGGTTAGCTCTCCTACTTTGATGAAGCTACTGTATTAAATATTAACTATTTAATGGACACTGTCTGCTCCTTAGCCCATTTAATAAAAGTCCTGCTCAAAAGACATTCATCCCAAGTGATGTGGATCTTGTTTTTAAGTTAATTCATTTGGATGTGCAAAGACTTGACACCACAGTTATTTCTTTTCTTTCCTTAACAATTAATTATGGTCCTCTTACTTTTTAAAATCATGTATTCAATGTGTAAGATATTGTGCTTGAGATATCTCAGAATACATTTGTACATGAGATATATTCTTTCTTCTTAATCTACTGTGTAACCAAATGTAATCAGTGTGCCTTGGATTACTTTGGTTATTAATGAGTCAAGTTAAAAATGTAGCTGCACCCCAGGCTAGTGTGGCTCAGTTAGTTGAGCATTGTCTCATGCACTGAAGTATTGGTGGTTGATTCCCGGGCAGCGCATTTACCTAGGTCGTGGGCTTGATCCCCAGTAGGGGAGTGTATGGGAGGCAACTGATCAGTGTTTCTCTCACATTAATGTTTCTCTCTCCCTCTTCTTCTCTCTGTAAAATAAAAAACACAGACCTTAATTCTTTAAAGAATACATAAAGCTGCAAAAGATTAATGCCAAGTAAAGCACAACATTCAATCTGTTTCTATTGGACCCAGATTTTTTTGTACCCATTATTTTTACCTGTGCCAAGCAGTCTGAAGCCTAGAAATCCTTTTGGGGGCATAAGTAAATCTTTGTTCTGGGCCATTGCCTTTTGTATGTGCCAAGATAAATTCTTCACGAGAGCAGATTGCAAATAACAGTATTTTAAAATTATTTTAATCTTTTTTTTCTGGATATATGCTTATGATTCATGTAACTTAAATTAGTTGTGCTCTGTTATTTTCTGTGTAGTTCATGATGTAACTCTCTTTTTGCAAATAAAAGTGAGTTCTTCAGGCTAAATAAGCACATGTTCCACTTCTCCCTTCCCCCATCACAAACTGCTTCATGTTTGTTCCTGCAAAGCTTCTGCAGCTATCCCATTTACCATTGAAGTACTGTGATAATTGTTTGACACAGAGCATGCAGTTGTGCAAGCGGTTTTACCATCAAGTTTATAATGTAATTTTTCAACACAACCTTTCAGTCAGCAGGCAAATATATTTTGCCTTAACAGATTAAGCCCAGTGGCTTAAGAGATTACAGAAAAAGAGGCTCAGAAGACCTCCTGATTAAAAATGGAGATGTCATTCAGCTTCTCCATGAAGATGCTGAGGGTCAATGGTAGGTGTGTTCTCCATGCCTGTGACCACCTCTGCCTGGGGCACATGGGTATCTAATCAAATGTTTGGCTTTACTTGTATCTTTGTTATACAGTCTTAAGAAGCGGAAATATCACGTCTTATTAGTGTTTCATTTTCATTGCTTCAGCCATGCCTATATAGCTCACTGAAATGAATATTAACCTTTGGTGAGTGAAAAATGCTTTGAAAGAATGAAATGCTATGAGTCTGCATGCTCTTGTCATTTACCTTTGGCTCAGACATTAGTTAATACATCTGGCTTTGTAATGGCTATAGGTCACATTACATGTGATAATTTAATTCATTCATCAAATCACATTTTTAATGAATGCCTATTATGCTTTGCTCCTTTACAGCATAGTCACACTACTCTTTATCAGTTCAAATATTGACTTTTTAGTCTTATCCTGTCATGCGTCTGCCATAAGATGGTTCTGCCAAATATACTGTTTAATTTTAGAAAACCAAAAGCAAGAAGGAATATTGTTTGGAAGAGGATTGAATAAAGCTCCCATAAATCTTAGAAAATTCATATGAAATTATTATTTTATTGTGTCAATAACTTTAACTGAACTGCTACATTGACCATGTACTCTGCCTTTAAAGATGGAGGAGAATACATATGAGGGTGAAAATTAGTGATGTATCATTAAAATAATAACCACTTTTGCTAGTAACCTCAGTCCTTTGTAGGTTACTCAAAAGACTCAAGAACAGTGTCATGAAGTTCTTTGAATATGTGCAAAAGCTTTGTGAAAATTCGAGCTGCAATGGAATGTAATGTCTTTGCTTTTTGTTAGCTTATATTACCATTGTTGGCTACTAATTAATGTATTATTTAGGCTGGTGAAAAGTCTAAACAGAAGAAAAGAAGACCTGATTCCGGGGAGCAGTCTGAAGATTTAAATCGGTGACTAGGTTTTGGAATGCCAAAGTTACAGGTATAATATGAACAGACTGTATACTATTTGTTTAAAGACTAAAAATTTTAAAGCTTTACCAAGTATGCAATTGGCATAAGTTAAGAACCTCTTTGCACTTAGAAATAAAGCTTCAAGCCTACTATGTTAGCTAGGATTTAATAAACATGTTAAACTCTTTCTTACAAGGTTCATAGGTTTGAAAGTTTCCAATGCTGTGGTGTCTTACAAGAGATCCTTCAGAACTAAATACTGATAAGATACTTTTAAGGTATCAGCTTTACTATCCAAGAATGCTTTACCAGTGTGTTTTTACTCAGTTCACAGAATATATCCTTTCCTTATGGTAGGTTTCTGCTATACACACATACACACACACACACACACACACACACACACACACACACACACTTCTCTGTATCTGTACACAAGATTTAATATGTGAAGGTAGTATGAAGTAATGAGAGTGAATCTAATGTTCATTTCTATTAAAAAAAACCAACCCCTTTCAAATAGAATTTCTGTATATAGACCAATGTTTTTGTAGATTTTCACAGCGAGTGATATTGAGCTATTTATAAAAAGGCAGCACAAACAAAAAAAGAAAACAGACTTGTTTGTAAACTTGTGTGTGGAGAATATTATTATATATACATATTTCCTTTGATTTGTATTTAAATTTCAGGTAAATGGTACATTGTGTTTATATGGATCTGTTAGATCAGGAGTAACTTATTTGGTTCATTTATGACATGAAATAAAATCCAAGGTTGATAGAGCTCAATATAAATATTGGGTCACATGGGAACCCCACAATTAGAGTCACTTCTTTTCTTTTTTTTTTTTTTTTTTTTAATATATTTTATTGATTTTTTACAGAGAGGAAGGGAGAGAGATAGAGAGCTAGAAATGTCGATGAGAGAGAAACATCGACCAGCTGCCTCCTGCACATCCCCTACCGGGGATGTGCCCGCAACCAATGTACATGCCCTTGACTGGAATCGAACCTGGGACCTTTCAGTCCGCAGACCGACGCTCTACCACTGAGCCAAACCAGCTTCGGCTAGAGTCACTTCTTATTTATTATTGTTATATTAGAAATTAATAATCCCTAAATTTTGGATATTGAATTACATAAATCTAAACACATGGGACAAATAAGTAAAAGCACAAGATAAATTAGAATTATTTCAAATTGGATGAAAATGGAGCATATCAAAATTTGTGGATGCAGATAAGGAAGATATAAAATGTATAGCTTTAAATACTTGTATTTTACACTTAAAATTCAACATAATTCACCATATTAAGACAATGAAGGGGAAATTTATGTAATAATTTCAATAAATATAGAAAAGTACTGGACAGAACTATAAACTCATTCATAATAAAATGTCACCCCAAATTGAGAATAAAGTGTATTTCTTCAACTTGATAATGTATACTTGTGAAAAACCACAGCTAACATCATACTTAATGAAAAATATTGAAAGCTTTCCCCCTAGGATTTGGAAGAAGCCAAGGATATTATCCACTCACACCATTTTTATTCAACATTGATACTGGAAATCTTAGCCAGTGCCATAATTCAAAATAAAAAGATTAACAAAAATATTAGAAAAGAAGAGGCAACACTGTTGTGATTAGCAGATTTATATGTACAAAATCATTAGGTATCTATACACAAAAGACCTTATTAGAAGTGATAAATTAATTTTATAAAGCCAAGTATACAAAGTCATCATACAAAGTAAATTTTAATTCTATACCATACCACAAAGTGTTAAAAATGAAATTTCAAAACACAATACCATTTACATTGGTAATATAAAACATGAAATAGAAATAAGTCTAATGGCCAACATCTAAGACTTTTATACTGACAATCAGAAGTCATTGCTTAGATACATTTAGAATGACCTAAGGAAGGGAGAGATATGTACTAGTATGCCATATTCAAGAATTGGAAATCTCGAAGTTGTTAAAAAGTCAATTATCTCCAAATCCACCTGTAGAGTTAATGCAATCAAAATCTCAGCAAGCCCTTTTGGGGGAAAAAAAGTAAAGACAAGTTTACTCTAAAATGTACACAGAGAGGGAAAGAATCTAGAAAGAATCTCAAAAATTTGGAAGACTTACATACCCTGATTTCAATACCCTATAAGGCTACAATAAATATAGTGTCATGTAGAAAAATAGAGATTTTAGTAGACACACAGATACATAATCAATTAATATCCAATCAATGTGCTAAGTCAACTAAATGGGAAAAGGAAAGTTATTTAATCAAATGGTGCTGGAGCAACTAGATATCCATCTAGAAAAAGAAATGAACCTCCATGCCTCTACTGCATTCCATACACACAAATTAATTTGACTTAGATCATAGACATAAATGTTCAAGCTAGAATAATAAAGCTTATAAAACCCAAAAAGGCAATATCTTCATGGCTGAGCTGTTAACAATTTCTTATGTAGGGCAGAGAAAACACTAACCAGAAAAGATTATCAAACAAATACAAAGAAACATTACACATGTTGATCAAGCACTTGACAATGTTACACATTTATGCTTGTTAGAATAAGATAAAATATAAGAGGCTAATATTCAGAATACTTTCAAAAGGCAATTGTGTAGCATTAATGAGTCACAGTTTCCCTTAAATTAATGAATTCCATCTTGTACATTATTTTTAGTGTTAGAAATTATAGCACAGACATTTTTTTATCTTAAAAGTCACTTGAATATTAACATCTTTCTTCATTATTTTGTAGATGCTGCTCTGAGTAACTCAAGGATACTAAGTTCCCCTTGAATTAAAGGAGAATGAATAGACTTTTAAAATTAAGATTTCCTTTGGTGGCCTGACTAGATGATATTTCTTAAAAATATTTCAGATAAACAGCACAAGAGTCAGAATGATCTTATGCTGCCCATGATATTTACAGAATTTCCTCAGGACTGAGGTGGACTTGGTCATTCATAGTTTGTTTGTCTCATTCAGGCAAGAAGTATCTTCATACTTTCCATTCTCCACAGGTGAAAAGTGCAGTGTTACTTTGTTTCCAAGTATGGTTTTTTCATGGCATGCATTCAGATTCCACCTAAAAAAAACAACCCTGCAAATCAATTATTTTGAACATTTACTGGTAAAAGCCTTACCTGTAATTTTGTTTGTAACTTTTCAGGAACAAACAGAAATCCAAAGAGGAGGAGAGATGATCAGAGATTTTCACCTACTTCGTTGACTAATAGTTTTAGTATTTAATTTTGTTATCTATGCTACTATAATATACCAAAGGGATATGTTCTGAAGGACCTCTTTTGCACTTTGACTGGTATTGAGGGTTTCTAGAGTTGTCTTATAGTTTTAAAAAGATCCAAAGCTAAAAATCCTATGGTTAGAATGTGTTAAAGTTTACATTTTATGCATTGCAATTTAGACACTCATTTAACAGCTTTAAGTTAAATATTCATATATGTACACCAGGTGTTCCTGTAACAAAGTTCTACTTTCCAGTGTCTTTACTTGCTTTTGAATTTTCTGGAAAAAATCTGTTCTAGTAAAATTTTTCTTTAGTTATATTTTGTCTTAGGATTTTTTGAAAATGATACATGTATAGTTGTCTTTCTTTTACATATGTAATCAGTGTGATGACTTGTTTTAAAGCACAGGGCTAGTTTTTGCATGCAATGTTGAATTTATGCTTGGAATATTTTATGACAAGGACCAAGAAGACAATGGTTTGAAATTGCTGCCTTTTGAATCATGGATTGTATGTTTTACTATCAAGTTGGCATATTTTTTGATGAAAACAAGGTGCACGTTTTTTTGATGAAATGTGTTACAATAACCAAATTCAATAACTATATAATACATAAGTACTTGATCTTTTAAATAGGCTTGTGTGTTATATCAAGATTATAGTTTATGCCAGTAGTATCATTTGATGTAACAATTTCTATAACAAACCAGTTGTATTTTATTCAAAGGTACCTGAAAATTATAAATCTTTTACTGTATACTTGCTGGAGTTTATGATGGTTGATTTATAACTCACTCATGAAAATTGCCATATACTGGACATTTCACTCAATGCTTCTGAAAAATAACAACAAAATGAAATTAAAATCTATTTCTTCTGTGTACTGATCCTGTGGTTAAAAAACAGAATTAGCAAATAAAGTTTTTGAATCACGATGCTTTTCTGCACAAAATATTTTAATTTCTTGGTATTAAACTAGGGATTTTAATCATTTAAGACAATACAAAATGCTATACATTCAAACATACAGTTATAGCCTTTTAATATTTTAATCACTGTACAATGAATGCTAAGTTTGTAAATATAACTACACTGTGTTTATTATATTGGGCTATAAAGGTGCTACTGTAAAAAAGCAGTGATTTCCCTTTAAGTCTTCAAATATAATTACATTGTAAATGTACTTAACAATGTAAATGTAATAACATTAATTCCACATTAAAAATATCCAGCTTAGTATAATATTAATTATATATTGAAAACCCTTTCCCTTTAAATTACTAGGGATACTTTAAAGGCACCATAAGTATTTTGAGTTAACCTTTAGCCTAATTAAAGAATTCTCTGAGACAGACAGAGATACAGAGAGATAGAGATAGATAGAGATATCTGACTAGAACTAGAGTAAAATATTCTGCTCAAAAAGTTTCTCCACCCAAATCTAGGATAACAATAAATAAGGTTTCTGGGGTTAGATAGCCATATTTATGAATGGATATTTCTACACGCTGGAAAAATCTTCCATATAATCGAGTCCAAGGAAACCTGGAAAACATCTAGATACCTGCAGTTGTTTTCTGAGCCTTTGTTTGTTAAGGCTTCTTATAGCTAAGTTTGCCAGACTTAATTCAGTTCCAGAACTTGTGTGTTAATATTTGTTAGAAGACAAAAATCTAACAAATTGGTTTGGTTGACTCTTCCATTATTTAAAAACTGAGTTTGCTTCAGATGCCTTAATGGGCATCCCATCACAGGGTCAGTTTTGTTTTCTGTTTTTTGTTTTTGTCTTTAAATTTATTTTGAGCTCTTTCAAGGAAACACAATCAGTGAATTAATCAATGTTAATCCATCTCCAAAGAACACCTTGAAAATTAAAATCTGTTTAAGTTTCTTATTCCTATGTTGGATAAGAAGTAATGTATTGTTGATATTTTACAAAAAATTATGCATGAATTTCACAATATAGAACAGAGTTATTATAAAAACCATTCTGACATCTGTGCTATGAAAAGAAAAAATTTCAGAGTGTATTTCTGAAAGTCTAAGGGTGTATAATAAATGCTCCACTTGAAGAGAAATTAGGTCAATGATTTTGTTTGAGTTTAGTCAGAAAACAATCAGTTTCACAATTTCTCTGAAAAATGCTTATTATTTTTTTGTATTTTTTTATTGTTTGAAGTATTACAAATAGTAATACATATGTCTCTTTTCCCCCCATTGACTTCCCCCTGGCCTCCCCTACCCTCCAGTCCCCAGTACATGCCCTCACCTGCCCCTCCCCCCAGTGTCTTGTAGCCATTGGTTATGTTTATGTGCATGCATACAAGTCCTTCGGTTGATCTCTTAGCCCCCGCTAAAACTTCTCTTGCCTTCCCGCTGTAGTTTGGCAGTCTGTTCAATGCTTCTTTGCCTCTGTATCTATTTTTCCTTTAAAAAATATTGCCTCTGCAGACTAGAAATAATCATATAATAAAATAATGTTTGAGTCACAATTTCAGTGTCCAACAGTTCTGATTCCCCGTTTCAATGTCCACTAATATTTACAGGGTAAACTAAGATTGTTGGTAGAGTATTAAATTTGACAGTAAAATAGTAATCAAGTTTTCAGATTAATTTAAATAGGCTAATTGAAATAAGTGAATATTCAAGAAAATTTAATTGTACTGGACAAAAAGCTGTTCCTAAAGTAGTAACTAAAATTTCTATTGGTAGTTCATCTCCTGTTAAAAGTCCTAAACATGCCATGAACCTAAAGCAGTCATATTTTTGTGCAAAAATTAAATTTACATTATTAAGACTGCATTATAAAATTAACAAAAGCCTCCATCATTCAAAAAATGCTTGTTATTAAGTATAATAATGCTTATTAATATACTAGACCATATGAATCTGCTTCCCATAGGGGCAGTAGATTGTAGTGTGCTTAATGAATCATGTCTCAAGCATTTAATTGTCAAAAGAAATCACTTTATTACATTTCAGTACCCTTCCCTACATTGGTTTGGAATAGACAGTTTGCAATTAGTCTTATGGTGCCTCCCCAAGGACAGCAAAATGCTTGGGAACAAAACAGTATTAAAGACAAAACCAGAACCCTTTATATTGTACAAAAGGAAATTAATAAAATTATGTGCACTTTAAAAAATGTAGTTCCTTTTTAGTTCAAAATACATATATTTTCCATAGTAAGACTGATGACATATTCAAGTTTTACCTTTCACTTGGTGAGGGTCTACTTAATATTTGTTGATAACCTCATTTTCACATGTACAAATTAGCCCGTCAAATTCTGAGGAGGCAGTTTCAACACAATGTAATGTTATATTGAGAAGGGCCAATGAAGTTGAACTTTGTGAGGATGTATTCCTTAAGCTAAACAAAAAATGTAAACCATTTCAAATGTACATTTTGTTTAAGTATTTGTGAGATAGACTCACTAACTCAATTATGAAAACAACCAACTAAATACAAACAGGCTGAAGAATAAATTAAAATATAATGGAGCGAGAGAGGAAGTCAGAAAGATTTGAAGCATGAGAGATAGATGTGCTGAGGATTTTCTTATATAATAGTTTTTATCTTAGTTCGATAATGAATATTCTCTTTTTTGTAATTTATCTTTATTGTTGCAAGTATTGCAGATGTACCCTGTGTTTGTGGTTTTGTTTTTCCATTAACCCCCTACACCCCGTACCTGCCCCTTCCAGGCCTTCACCACTCTATTGTCTGTGTCCATGGGCTATGCAAATATGCATTTAAGTTCCCTGGTTTTAATCACTCCTCTCCCATACTCCCACCTCCACCTTCCCTCTGACATTAGTCTGTTCCATGCTTTGTCTCTGGATCTGTTTTATTCATCAGTTTATTTATTTTTTTTTTGCATTAGATTCCACATATGAATGAGATCATGTGATACCTTTTCTCTGACTGGATCATTTCACTTAGTATAATACCCTCCAGGTTCATGCATATAAGAGTTCTTTCTTTCTAAAAGCTACCTAGTATTCCATTGTGTAAATGTAGTACAGTTTTTTGGGTTTTTTTTTTTTTTAATCCACTTATCTGCTAATGGACTCTTAGGCTGTTTCTAAATCTTAGCTATTGTAAAATGTGCTGCTATGAACATAGGGGTGCCTACATTCTTTCTAAGTGGTGTTTATGTTTTCTTAGGATATATTCCTAGAAGTGGGATCACTGGGTCAAATGACAGTTCCATTTTTATGAGGAAACATCATATGGTTTTCCACAGTGGCTGCTCCAGTCTACATCCCCACCATCAATGTACTAGGGTTCCCTTTTGTCCACATCCTCACCAGCACTTGTCATTTGTTGATGATAGCCATTCTGACATGTGAGGTGATACATCACTGTTGTTCTAATTTGCATCTCTCTGATGAGTAGTGACTTTGAGAATTTTTTCATAGGAATCTTGACCTTGTCAAGTTTGGGAAAGTATCTATTTTAGGTCCTTTGCCCACTTTGTTCTCTTGTATATGTTAAGCTATGAGAGAAATCAAATGAAAACAAAATATTACTAAGTGGGCTCTAATTTCAATTGTAATAAAAATATTTAAAGGCAAAAAATCACGGGGGACATTTTGAAATTTAATATTAGAACTTAAAATGATCTCTTTACTGACCCCAGGAAGGACACACGACTGTACCTGTACATTTACAACTAGTTTTAAAATCATTGAATTCATTGCAAAGCTGATATTTTTAAATATGAGTATTAGTAGCTTAAAAATCTGACACTATATTGCTGAAAACATCAGGTATTGGGAAGATTATGAAGCAAGAAGAATTATTCCACACTGCTACAGGGAGCATAAATTGTCACAGCTCTTTGTGAGCAATTTGCTAATACCAAGTGAAGTAGAAGTGAATGCTCTATGGCTGAGCAATTTCACTCCTAAGTATTTACCCTGGAGAAACACAGGTGCTCAGAGAGGCATGGGCCAGAATGTTTATAGCAGAATTGTTTGCAAGAGTAAATAAGCAGAAACCAGTTTGGCTCAATGGATAGAGCGTCAGCCTGTGGACTGAAAGGTCCTGGGTTCGATTCCGGTCAAGGATATGTACCCTGGTTGCGGGCACATCTCCAGTAGGGGATGTGCAAGAGGCAGCTGATCGATGTTTCTCTCTCATCGATGTTTCTAACTCTCTATCGCTCTCTCTCTTCCTCTCTGTAAAAAAACAATAAAATATATTTTAAAAAAGAGTAAATCATTGGTAGTCAACATGAATGACCATGGACACTAGAATAGGTAATAAGATCATAGCGTATCATACAATCAAATACTAGATAGAAATTAAAATGAATGATCCAGAGCTGTCCATATCAACATCAGTTAATCTCACAGGAAACACATTTCAGGATAGATACAATATGATTGCATTTGTAAAGTTTTAAAATATATAAAAGAAAATATAAAGGACAATTTATAGTAAACGTATATAGGTATGATGGATAGTGATTAACACCAAATTAAGGATGAGTGGGGGAAGAGAAGGAATGGATGAGTGTTAGCACTTAGAAGTTCATGATATTATTCTCAGTATATTTTTATATGTCTGAAATATTTTACACAAAAAATTCTTACATTAATTCAGTACTGGAAAAGTAAAATATACCTGTCCCCAATGACTGAAATGTAGTAAAACCCTGTGCCAAACTTACCTTTCATACATGCTTGTGGAAATTTTTAACATCTTTATGTCAGCTGAAAATAAGTTAAGAACTATTTTCTGCAGTCTTTATAAATAAATTACAAATTACTATGAACTATCAGCAGAAAACTACCACAGAGTAAACCTTCATTGACTTAACAATGTGTTGTGTATGAGAAATATTTGTACTTAAGGAAATATTTTATTTTACTGAATAAAATAACCACCTGTTGCCACCTGAGAACAATTTTAAAGGTCTG